CCTTCAACTTGATCTCCCTTGACTAATAATCTTCCGTCACGGTTCTTCACCGTGAAGTAGCTAGGGGGCGTGATGCAATGCTCCCCCCCCCCCTTCTCCTCGGATGCTCTCACATGCGAATTGCATACATCATACCCCCTCCCTGTTTTTTTTTCGTGTTCTTGCCTCAATCGATAACTTCTACTTTCGCTAATCTCCATGCGGACATGCATCAGCGATTTCTTAATGGAAATTAATGGTGTCCTGAAACGTAAAAAAAGAAACTCGAGCTAAAAAAAGAATTCCGAGACGGAAGGAAGGGAAGAATGGCCGAGACGTTCGGTCTCGGCCTACATAATATTTCCTTTGTGGAAGAGGGAGAGGGAATGATTATGATGAAATGGACGCGAAGGACGCCACAGAGCCGTGAAATTAGAAAAGGAAGTGGCCAGGCCCGGCAGGACTTTTTTTTTCCCTATCTCTTCCCTCATCTGGGTACCTCCATGCTCCTACATCCCATTCCATAGGCCTCGGCCAGGTTATGCTCACTTTTTCTTTTTCTCATTCTCCCCTCTTCTCGGAATTTCCTCATTGTTTTCCGCGAAGGTCTCCCTGTTTGCCGGCGGATTTTTCTCTTTTTCTCGTCGGTGTTGACTCGCCTCCGTTTCCACCTTGTTTCCCTTTCGTTCCGTTCTCTTCCGCCTCGTTCGAAACAAACGTTAAAACTGCCCCACTTCGTCTTCCCGTCGTCGGGAAGTCGAAATGCAGTCATGGAAATTCCTCATCAGCCGTTGACTATCAGCTTATTTATTTAACTCTTTAATCTCGTGATGCCCAATAGTATTTTCCTCGTGTTCATGCTAACGAGGGAAGCCAAAGAACCCAGCATAAATAATATTACACTATATTGATTTGGCATGTAACATAAATATTTATGTTGATGAAACATATTCAATAATTAAAAAACGAACACTTTTTTTCCTTGCCCCCACACGCCAAAAAATGGTGTTTGGGTGCTTCCACGTCCTGTTTGGGTGTGAGAGTTCATGGCGAATCGATAGCCCAAATTTTTTTCTCCATTGGGTAAAATCAATCCTGATTTTAATGTGAATTTAATAAAGTTATTTCAAATGATTAATTTAATATTATTTTGTGGGTAAGTTTATACGCACAATGCATATTCAGTACTTTTCCAAGTAATTGTATTGTATCGTGAAGACATGTCCTTGAAAACTAGCTGGTATGGTGAACGGAGAACGAGAGAGAGATTGGAGAGGACCGAGGGAGAGGGTAAGGGTAAGGTTTCCCCCGATCCCCTGCAGGGAATGGGATCCCCCTGTTTTTCGGAATGCCCTCGGGGGGACCCCGGTTCCTCCTTCTCGGGTTCCCCTTCCACGTACCGTAGTAACACACCTTAACGGGCGATACCCTCTCGTTTTTTGTGTCCTATCGACTCCGACGATCGAGAAGAGGGATCGGTGTCGGCTGTCACTTGTTTCGCGTTCGCACTAACTAGCATTCGAGAACGCGTACTCACGTTTCGGTAGAATCACGTCGAAACGTGGAACGTCGACACGGCGAGATTGCATGAATGCGATTTCAGAGATGAAAGTTATATCGCGAAGAACTTCATGACGGTGAAGAAATCAATTTTACATTAAAATCAATAACGAAATTCAGGATGGGTAACATGCACCGTACCAGATAAAATTTTAATTTCATCTCACAAGTGGCCAATATGAGAATAAAATGAAATTGCCATAGGAACTCGATGAACTCTTGGCTTGCCCAAGAGCCGAAGGAAGACGACAGGTCATCGAGGTAAAAGAAGAAAAAGGTGACAATTTTAAACTTAATTTATCTAAAAACAATGACGTGCAATGCAACCGTCGAAAATTGTGTAGGAAATGACCAACCGGATTCCGCAGTCAATAAAAAAAACGGGAATTGCGTTGGATGAGATGACAATGGCACCCGGGATTGAAAATAGAGGAGGAAACCGGATGCGTCACACCCATGAGGAAGCTACCAAGGCATTCATATTGTACAGATGGACCAGCTTTTTTCCATGGAAAAACATCTCCGTTTCCGTATGACCTCATTCGTGGACGGATGCATTCATGATAGACCCAGAACCAAATGTAACAATGAGGCCGAAACTGGGAGCATCGAATCTGACGAAATTAGAGGCAGATTAGAAAAAAAGCTGAGTTAAAAAATGATGCTGAACATGTACTGTACATAAATAATACATAAAGCGTGAAATAAAATGAGGGAAAAAATATATATATATAAATACAAAAGTAAAACCATTTGATGCCGAAACAATAAATAGCAGAGTAGACTATTCTGCATTCAAGTTTAACATCGCATTGGACGAAGAGACAATGATGGCAACTGTAATAATTATGGTGTCGGTGGGAAATGACAGCATGATGAGCGTCTACATTCGTATTGCATAAGATGTCTGGTAGTATTCCGTGATTTCGTATGCAAAGCAGGTGTGCAATGCAGTTGGGATGCGGGGTGAAAGGCCATAAACGAAAGGCACCTCCGATCAAATTCACCTCTGACCCATCCTTATCAGATGCATCCTTTCGCTTTGCTACAAACGCTTCCCCCCCCCCCTTCCCTCAATCCCCCCTAAAAATTCTAAAATTTCAAATAAATGCCTGCTTCTGTTTTCAGAGGGATCTCCCGAGAAATCAAGACCTGATTTTCGCTATTCAGTTTTTTTTTATTTCATTGAAATTTCATATTAACTCCTTTTTTTAATTTAGAAACGTTCCTATTTTCTACTGGTCCATATGGATATTGTCTTTTCATTGAATCTCCATAGACTTTTCCAATTTTCCATTCTGTGAATTTTTGTTTCATTTCTTAGTATTCTGTTTACGATCCTCTTCTTGAGTATTTTTTTGCTTTCGTGTTCTCATACCGTGCATCCAATGCATCTTATTTTCCGAAATCGATATTTTCATTTGCCTTACGATGACTTTTTTGTCGTTGATAGAACGCGACGGCGACTCGGGACGCGTACTCGGGCTTCCCGTCGTGCGACGAACGATGCCGATTCCAAGAGGTGAGATTTCATTTTTTTCCCTCATTTTCCTTCCCGCCAAAGGGGAAGGAAACAACAGCACCTGTTCTCCGATGGATGAATGACGAGGCAAATAATAGAAGAGGGAGGGAAGGGAGGGGGGTGGGGGAAGAATAGGATTATAAGGGGGAATGGAAAGGAAGTCCTCCATATCCTCCTTGAACCGCTTCCTTATTAACCGCAGGGCATTTATAAACGGCAGTCGCGGTTCTCGCTATGAAGATGTATCTCTCTGCCGACATGGGGTGGGGCAGGAAGGAAGGAAAGAAGCAAGCGAAGAAGCCCCGAACGGCCGGGAGGGAGAATTTCCCACGCCCTTCTCGCAATGCCGCTACAGGTGTTTCCCCCCCCCTTTCCTCCCAATGGGGATATCCTGTGCGATCGGATGTACCTACACAGACGTGCGTCGTCCCGACAGGAAGAGAATGATACGAGGGAATTCCTAACGGAAATGGCAAGAAAACGGTGTCCGTTCGCACGACGACGATCGTTCGGAATGGAACGATCGTCGCAAGCATGCGATGGAGTCCACGACTCCAGTACGGACGAGGCTGGACGAATCCCACGTGTCCGTCGTTTCGTTCCGCCGAGCCCGTGAATGGACCGTCGACGAATCGATCGGTAAATGCGTCTTTCCACGCGTTCGTAAGTCGACGATCGGACGAAAGATCGAAGGAACGAAACGGGGGAGCAAAGAAAGGGGTGAAGTACGAGGTAAAAGGAATCCGAAAAGCGGAGACTCGTCTGTTCGGTCTGGCACGTTGCGGTCGCTCGCGGCCGGCCGTTTCCACGTGGACTATTATTCTCTTCGTCGAAAGTGCCACGTGGCAGTTCCGAGGTACGAACTCTTCTTTTTGTCGTCTGGTGCTCTTCCCTCCGATGGGGATGTCGATGCGATTCCATGTCGTACGTATCACATCCCACGTCGATTAGAGAGTCCTATCACCGAGGCCATTCCTCTCGGAAGAATACTTTTTTTTAGAGGCCATTTCTTACCGGTAGTGCACTCGTGAGCACCGATGCTGCATTCCGAACGCACCGTGATGAAGATTTCACCAGTACCATCGTTCAGTTTTCACGTATTTCCTCAAAATGCGCTCCGTGTGTATTTTTGGAAGAACGGATCAGAATCGACCAGCCGGTGTCGTTCGGACGGACGCGATCTTTCGCGACCGGAACACGCTTCTTTGTCGTCTCTTGCTTTTCGCTCATCCGTCCATTTTAATTATTTCTCGCGCTCCTTTCTGTTTTTTACATTTTGGTAGATGTTCGCGGTATCGAAACACCGATACGAATACGGGAAACCCCTAATTTTTAGCGGCAGAACGGAATGCCTCCGAAGATGAGATCAAGTTAAATGTTTTTTACGATGATGTTCGTTCGTCGCTCCTATTCGAGCCGAAAATTCGTGTTCTCGTGTGCATGCTTTTAGTCGCCCCATGAATAATACAAGAATGCGGTAATCGCACCGGCAGTACGGTCGATGCACGCATCTCGTAGTAGCACTTCTTCGTACTGATATGCGTCACCGTTCTTTCTCGAGGAAACCGGCAGCGACCATTCCAGCTGCATTTGCTTACTCTCTAACGAATATCGACTCGGGGGAGACATGAGATTTCCATCATTTTCCGCAACTTTTCCTCGGTGAATGGAATCCCTTTTTATGGAAGAAACGAACGCGATCGCTCCCGTTACTTTTCGCATCGACGATTCGTCGAAGGGAGTCTTCGAAGGTTCGCGAAGACGACCGACGAGAGGACGAATGCCGCGATGAAAATTCGACCCGAAATGAACGTTTTCGTTTTTCCTCTTTCAGTGCGAATCGGGCTGCCGGACGTGGGAAACGTCGCCGTCGACTCCGTGCCAACACTCCTGCGTGAGTCCGATTTCCATCCGTCTCGGACGACGTCCGAGTTTTATTTCACGATCGCGTGGAAGATCCGTCGTCGGAGCATTCGTAGAGACGGTCGATCTGAACGATGTCGGAGGGAGCGAGTCGCCCCTTGGCCCAGAGGGGACCGGGGTCCGTGCCGGCCCATTCCCCGATCGGTTCCAGGGTCAAACGTCCGTTCCCCGTGAACACCGTCAGTTCCGGGTGCATGATGGACTCGAAACTGTACTCCACCCCGAGATCCTGCGAGTCGTTCAGGGTCACCGCGTAGAATTCCTCCTCCCGACCTGCGCATGAGTTTTTTTTTAAATTAATTTTCTACCATCTTATTTGGGGCCGCTCGGGTCAGGACGGCTCCTTTTAACGTTTCATTCTTCGCGTTCGTTCTACGGGGAGAAAGGGGGCGAAAAAAGTAGGTAACTTTTAACCCTTTCCGCTCGTGGTCGCAGGAGACGTGGGGGCTTCCCGCGGCCACCGAGCGGAAAGGGTCGACACGGACATTTTGTCGTTTCGAATCGCGGTCGCGGAGGCCTGGCTTCGAACTGCGTCGGATTTAACCGGTGAGCTACAATCAAAGCATATTTCACCCTTAATTGGACCGTCGGACATTTATGCCTTTCCTGCGGTCTTTCAAGGGTGACGAAGGAGTCCGAGAAGGGGAACGAGTCCTCATTCTCCAAGTCTTCCCAAGTACCGTGGGGTACTCGATCCTCTCGCGGAGTAAGGAGTCCTTCTGCGCGTGCAGAAGCGAACCCGATTTCCTGGAGGAATTTCTGTCCATTTTCTATCTTCCAAACGGCGAATCGCGAGAGATGGGATGCCGAAAATGATCATTTCGCATGCAACCTGTTGAAAGCGATCTGCGTACCGTGTCGTGCCGAGAGCCGATTTCCAAATCCCCACATCTTTACTCGTCGTTGTAAAAAAAACGAGGTGAAATGTGTCGACAACGAATTTCAGACCGCATCGATGAAATTCCAAGAAGTACGAACGCATGGGTCTGGGACAGTGAAAAGTGCGTCTCGTAGAGTCTTCGTAAAAATGCATTTCGAAATGCAATCGTGCACGCGTTTGGAATCGGATGGAACTGACCTGGACTGATGTTTTCCCAGTGGACCTTCACGTATTCATCTCGGTCGAATCTCACGTGTTCGTGGTAGAATCCGAGGGAATGCATGAGTTCGTGCATGATGATCCCCTTCCGATCGCATTGCCCCATCTCGATTGAGAGATCCTGAGGGCCCAGTTCGTTCATCCCCATGTAACTCCAACACCTGCTCCAAGCGCACCCGCACTTACATACGTACGTACAATGCTATTCGGTACGACGAAATGCAACGTATCACGATGTCGCACATTACTGTACAATACAAAAAATCGCAAGATGATTCTACAATATAATACGAAGTTAACCGAATTACCTAACTATGAAGAAGTCATATGAAGGCGAGAGTGGTTTCTGTCACGGTCTGTAGGCTTGCCCAAAATATAACATGTTAATTGATTAATTAATTATAAGTTAATTAGTTCCCCCCCCCCCCCCCCCCCCCCCCCCCCCCCCCCCNNNCTACCCCCCCCCCCCCCCCCCCCCGCGATGCCACTTCTGTAGTGCTCTCTCTTGGATTGGATTATGGAGTCACCCGGACCTCAATGACACTCTCTACATCTGATTAATAATTGTATTTTCTCTTACTGCAAATTAAAATTTAACCCTTGGTTCTTTATGTTTGTTGAAATTTTGTTACCCACGAAGCTCATCCCGCGGGACGCAGGTATAGTCTAGTACTTTATAATACAACGCGCCGCAGTACACCTTTTATAGTTTCCTGTCGCTTCAGTATAAGTTCTTAATGTTTTTACGTATTTTGAAATTCATAATTATAGAAGCATGCAGTCGTCTATCTTAACCCTTCAAGATAGGCATGGATTTATACTTAAATCCAAATTAATACCGAGTTGGTGCTGAAAGTCACATTTATATTCTGATTCGCTTCCGCTCACACGGTCACTTTCTTGATTATTTACACTTCTTTATTATTCTTTATTCTTTATTCTTCATTTTTTACACTTATTTATTTTTTGCACTTCTTTGTGCTTGTTTGTTGATAGAACGGGGGGAATTACCCGATGGCATCTCCACGAATGAATAAGTAGTTGTTGATGTTGGGGTTGCCATTCCTCTTGAGGAACCGGATGCAGGTGTAATTCTCGAACTCCTCCATCGCCTCCTGGATCAACGGCTCGATCGTGCCTAAGGATCCAAACGGAATCCAAAGGGATCCAAACCGTGCTTTCGACATCCGTGTTCGACGCACGGGTTTCAAGGACAGTCTCACTCGTGATCTCGTCCAGTTCGTAGAAGACGAAGCCGTCGGGCCAGAGACCGTAGTATCGGTCGGGAATCAGTGCCGTTCTCCCCTTCCGGTCCGCATGAAATAGACATCGTGAGAAAATCGATTTAACGAAAAAAGAACAGCGAGACGAATCGATTTCGCTATTTGAACGATCTGGAAGAAAGCGGGTCCGACTGTGTTTATTACGTGAACGATGATATTTCTCTGGCCCGGGTGGACGAGGTTGTTTCCCACCCTCAATTCTGGAGGAACTTCATCCCCAAAAATTGGCAAGAGACGAGGACGGGAACCGAATTCACGTCCATTCGAGACCTCAGTGGGCCTGCACAAGAAGTCTCTCGAGGGAAGAGTGGGGACCTCGTCCACATTTTCAATTTTTACCAACTCTTTTGCTGCGGAATATCCGAAGTTTCATTTTCCCAGCGGGAATTCGTTTGACATCACCGACTTTCCCTCGAGATGGTCTGAAGCACCACTCGAAAACAAGCATTGGGCGAAACATTACACTGCGTTCATAAATGCGATCACTGTATTTTCAGTGCATTGCATATGAATGCATTTTTCGCGAGTGAGGCAGGCGACGCGTTCATGCTGTTTCCATCGTGAATATGTTAATCAAAATGGATTCCAAGGAGTCGATCCGTCTCCGACTCTGCCTCGCTTCTCTGCGAATTCGGCGCCACAGTGCTCGTCCAGGCGATGTGTTTGAGGCAAGGACAGAAACGACTAGACTCTTTCGATCGTTGCACCAACCGTCTGACGATGACTTTCCCACTTCATCGCGTGCAGGGATCCGGTCGGGTCGCGGAATGGAATGACTGGAGGTGCCCGATTCATCTCACGAGAGGATCCAGGCACCTCAGAATCATTTTCAAGTCTTTCGTGGTTCATACTCTCGGGTTCGGACATCATCGTAGGTGTTTCCTACCTTATCGATGCGTGTTAATGTGAAGAATGACGCATTCAGAGCCAAATTTTAAAATAAAATTCTCACTCCTCATGAAAGATCATCAGCTTTCTAACATACAGTACATTTCATGCATCAAAGTCCATGTATCCTGCTTTCTAAAGGTTTTAAAATCCTTTTTCATTAAAAGGTTTTTTATGTTTATCCAGCAGCGGGGGCACAAGTAGGTGAATCCTAACACCTTATATACCTTATTCTTTTGAGTTCCGCAAAGCTTCCACCGACCCGACCATGAAGCGCGCCATCTTTACTCAAATAAATTTCCTCGGAATCCACCTGGTCAGGTATTTCAGCCCGAAATAGGATAATTCTATGATAGGATGTGGACGGAAGGCAATTAAACATGCTTTCTGCATCGTGATTTCAATAGAAAAGGCGCTGCACTTTTCTGATATTATTCGGATTTGAAAAATCGGACCGGAAATATTCCTAGATGGCATTCGGAAAATGAAGGAACGTTTCATCCCGCCAACGGCATCTTTTTCGAGTGGGAAGAAGTATTGCAAGACTCAAGGAAGATAGCATATAATAAGCAACGCAAGACGATATTACTCTTGTTTGCTTGTGTCGGAGAGGTCTTCACTTTTTTATTATACAGGGTGAGTAAAAAAATGTGGACACATAGGGCTAATGTGTGTGTATTTTTTTAGCCTGTGAGTCATTCCAGGCCCATGTCCTGGAATCAGTCCACATCGAATTTGGAAAAAGAATCCAGAAATGTCTGGAGAACGATGGACAACATATAGAACGCATATTGTAACATTTCGTGCAATAAACACATATTGAGCTCAGTTCCCTATAGACTTTTGACTCACCCTGTATAACAACAGTCCATTCGCGAGATGGATGATCTCTGCTAGTGAAGGGTGAGAATATAAAAGGAAAGGCGATGTAGCCGTGTGTACCAAATGCAATGGAATATGCCCGAAGCGTTTGGAAGCTGTTCAAAATCGCTTGCTTTCAATTCCACGTTCGAGAAAGACGGATAGGCCACCGCTTGCCAAACTCACCACCCTCCCATTTCCCCCTCCCCCTCCTCTCCCCTCCCTCGTCCCCCTTCCCCTTCTCTCCCCTCCTTCCCCCGCAGCTAAAGCTGCTCCACCTCAGAGTGAAATCGACTCATAAGCCATTAGAAAGTTTAGAAGTTTACCCCTGGTAAACCCGAACTGAACGGAGATCTCTCTTGTCAAGAGTAACCTCAGTCCAACAGTAAAAGAGACATGCATAGTTCCAGTCTTTCCAGCGATTTTATATGTGCAGTGTATTTGCAAATGAATTCGTACCACCTTTAACATTGCGCGAGGTTACTCCATGGATCATCCAATGCGGCAGCAGAGGAGGTCCAACTATTGTTTCCATTCCGAAGGATAGATGTCTCCCTCCTGCTACAGATAGCCACATCGCATCAATCGGTTAGTCGCTTGGGAGCTGTCGTACAGCGAAGATGACGTCGCGTGGCCCATACTAAAGCATAGACGAGTCATTGAGCACCGGATCGTAGCCAAGCACCACGCTGGGCAGTCATATACTGACTTCCCGAGCTTTGGGAAATCAGAATAACGAAGTCTAGCAATTCTCATCCCTATCGTAAAGCGAGTGTTCGACTTCCGTCGCTGCCTGAAAAGTTTTGTAATTGCAATAAGAAACACCTGAAAATACGTATCCTCATGTGGAGTTGGGTCGAATCATTCGTGTAAAAACGCTTTCGCACCATGCCAAAATGATTCGCATTTAATAAGAAAATTGCTTATTACTACAAAATAGACGACGGCCGAGATATGGTGGATTCGATCGGGTAAGTCCCGATCTCGAAATCGAGGAATCAAGTCGTACCAGTGATAAAATTCACGGACGAAATAGGAAAAAAGTTAAATGATTGATGTCAGAAGAAAAAGAGGCAGACGTGATGTAGTTTGAATCGGCGAAGACCACCGGCGACGTCTCCTCCGATGAGGTCCACCGACCAGATTCCATCCTCGATGCGAGACGAGTTGGACTCGGATAAAGCAAAGGCGGTGACGAGGGCCAAAAAGCGCCACATATCCAAAGACGAAGGTGCTTTCGGGATGGGCTCACTTCTCTTGCCTCTCCGTTCAGATATCATCGACAGCTGCGCATTTTCTCGTCATACTTCCGTCAGGTGTGGCTCGAGTTTAACATCGGCTGCAGGTCGTGAAACTCGAAGGTAAAAAGCAGCATTCACAAAAAACGGACGGAAAGTAAGCATTTTAACGAATGAGGAAGTTACAAAATAGGGATACAAGTTTAATCGGCTCCGATTCCTATGTAAACGCGTTTATCAGAAAAATTGGAATACTGCATTTCAAGGATTCCAGGACTCATCAGGGCAGGCCGGTGCAGTTTACGCAGTTTTCACTTACTAATTTTCTTTACAGAAAGCTATTAGTAAAAAAAAAAAATCGAAAGTAGTCTTATTGAGAATTACTATAGCTCATGCCCAGTGAGCCATGATGAAACCTTTTTTTTCTGATAACAGGAGAAAGAGAGAAGGGAGAGCAACCGGGACGCTCTGCGATGCTTGATCGGCTGCAACCTCGCACTCAGGTCCTACATGCAAAAACTCAAAGGTCCCCGTCCCAAGCCAATAGTTTTTTTCTCCGTGGTCTTTTATACGAGTTAACCCGATATTCGGTTTTGTGGATGCTCCACAGATGAATTAGGTGTTCCCAATCCCCCACACCTGGTGGCGGAGAGCCTGGGTCATTCCTCGGCCGTTCTGGCCTGGGAGGGATGGCATCGGTCCAGACCCAGCGTCAACATCTCTTATCTCGTCCAATGGAAATACGCGGATTCTCCAGGGGATTGGGAATATTTCGATCCGGGGAATCCCCTTTCGAGGACCACCGTCAACGTCACCGGATTGAGGCCCTACACCAAGTACCTCGTGAGTGCTTTTCTCGATATCGCGCTTATCGTATTGTTTCTCCTCGACACGGTAAATAATATCGCCATCGTTGGCATGACATCGGTGACCTTGCTTTTTGCCTATGATTGGATTATTATTTTCTACGAGTAGTAGTGTCTCGTAGTCATTTCTCATTCGAAACCTCTATAACTTCTGGGTTTTCCACGACAATAAAAAATGACTTCTCATCGTCACATACTACATACGCGATAAAATTTCCGATTTTTTTCTCTCTTTACGTTCTCATGGCGAGTTCCCAGGGAAAATGATTTTAAAAAGAAATTCAGTAGAGATGAATAGGCCATTATTGAAGACGTGGAGATGTTTAAACGAAGGACTGCCTTGGAATGCTTCCTGTATTTGTCCGTAAGATTAACGCTGATAGACTGGGAATGCAAGGGACTTGAGAGTGGCCCCCCAACACCTTATCGCATTTACCTTTGTATCTTCTGCTTTAGAGTCGTATGCTTTTTCTTCGCCATCGAGTTGGCCTACACTACGAACCGTAATGCTAAAGGCCCTTTTCAAGACTGTACTCGTCACTTTGAAGACTGACTTTTGCCTCGATCTACGATGAGCTCCATACCTGATACGAGTCCTTCTGCACGGTCTCTGAATACACAAAGTTTCCTTCCTAACAGTTCGGTATTTCCGGAGATCTGCAACAATTTGCTCTGGGGTGTTCTCCTCTCACGTAACTCTAGTTTTAAAAAAATATGTGCGCATATGCCTGAGAAGTCTCACCAGGTCTGAGAAGGGGGTTCATGGATTCAAAGGTACGGTCGACAAATATTTGAATGATGGAGGCTCTCTTTACCTCTAAAACTGTGCAGTTCCACGATGTAGCATCCCGAAATTTGCACCTCCAAGGACATTCCCAGAAGTTTTATTCCTTGATAGTGTTTATCGCCTAGAACCATCCAAATTACTGCACAGGAATCTCGTTTCATCTCGTTTGCCTTGGCTCTATCTGGCGGGGATCCGGTGACATTTTTTAAAGGGAGAGAGAGAGGAGAGAGGAATTTGTTGATTGAAGCGAATTTATGGAGAATCAAGTGTGAAAAATAGCACATATGACAACATTTGGCGTATAAGACATATTCTTGATGCGATACCCATTCGCTTCCCGAGGGAAGGATGCCTCTGTGTCACCTAAATGACCCAGTGGACTAGCGCTATCGACCGAATCAGGCCCATTTTCTCCCTCCTCGCAACTCTGAAGACTTCTCGAATATTTCTTGTAATCCTTTATTCAGGGTATGGAGACATTGAGACCAATACCACTCTCTCACTGGAAATATTTTGACCGACCTTGTTTTCTACATTGGCTTATATTTTTAACAGACCCCGCATATTTCATCCAAATTCATTCCAAGTTCGAAAGCGAGGCTTTGAGCGATTATTTAAAAGAAATCGCCAATTCAAAATGAATGGGACCCACGCACGAGTTGTTGAATTTGGTTACGATGACTGATGCAGCAATCGGTGTCAATATAAAAAGTTTTTTTAAAGTCTCAGTAGAGTCCCGCCTCATCTGCTTCTCGGCAGACGGAACGGAATAACACCGAAGAGCTTCCGTCCATTTTGGATTTCCATTGAAAAAGTGTCCATATCTTTGACAAAACGAATTGGCATGAAATTATGCAAGTTTGTTGAGAATTCTAACGTACAACGCGAGTTTGGTATATAGGACAAAAGTGACTGCAGTAAGAGCGGAGGTAATGGGTTCAATGTTGAAAGTCTTCCTATGCGTACCCTGATGCTACTTTGAATAAGTACATTCATACCATTTTGCTTTACTCGACAGTGTTCCTGCTAAACTTAGTCGAGTTTTGTATTTTTTATTACCCGATGTATGACTTGCAGCGGATGTAATCGACCTCTCGGTTGGATGTTTCTGTTTCAGTTTCGTTCTGCGTGGCTGCTGCTTCCGTTCCAGCCACCCCTGTTTTCCCGTGCCAGCGTTTCTATATCCACTTTACCCCACGGCCCACCCGAAGATGCCCCCATCATCGAATCCCTTTCTCCGTTGGGCGCCGACAGACTTTCCGTCTCCTGGTCCGAACCGCGATTCTCCAACGGACCGCCCGTTTCCTTCGAGCTGATTCTCCACCAAGTGAACGGCTCCCATTCGGTCCTGAAGGTGAGCCTGAGCGTCCAGGCCATCGCAAAAGCGGCACAGTTCGAAATGCAACGATGGCAGCTCCATCTATCTCCAGATCTACGTCGTTAAACAGACTCCGGACTCGGAAACGCGAATGATACCAATTCGTCGCAATGAACGAATTTAGCTTTATGGTAGAAAATGGAGATGGCAGAAACAGTTCGTGTGGGAATTATTAGCTCAAATATTGCTTAATGTTTGCGTGCAGTCTACGACATGCACGAAAAGTATGTCTGAAGTCCGAGCCCAGCAGACCGGCGGCAGGATTCCTTTTCATCTTCATCGATAGCGTTTCTCATCGCCTCTCCTTCGCTGACGAATCGATTCGGTCGTGTTCTTGCAGGAGGTCCAGATCTCGGACAAGAGCCAGTACCATTACATATTCGCAAACGTGTTGCCCCAGACCACGTACACGTTCTCGGTGCGCCTTCGCAACCACGCAGGCGAAGGACCCGAGGCGAAAGCTTCCGTCATCATGCCTCCCAGCGTCCAAGGTCTCTTTCTAAGACTTTCCCAGGAGAACCCTCCTCTCTCCTCCCTTCTCCTCCCGGTTGTCCACAGGAGCACTCCCAAGTTTTTCTCCCTTTCCCTTTCACAGATGAGGACTCGGTGACGCCGTATCTTCTCATGATCTCTAGTCATCAGGTCCTGAAGCAGTCCCTGGATATTTTGGAGGAACCGGAAGCCCTCTACACGGTCCCCGATTCTGCTGATGCCATCGAAGGTGAGCTTGAGACCGATGTATCCTGTTGAAGATATCACTGAGTATTTAATAAAATCCATGAATGTAGGTGCCAGAGCTTAAATACATAACACGATTTGACTAAGTATTTTGATATTTACAAGGAATATTTGATATTCACAGCATAAAGCACTAAAAAAAGTTCAATAACTCCATGATTTTGCATGAAGGCCTCGTGACTGCAGAATAGGGCATATTCTGTCCTTGGTCTTTTTCAAGATGATTGATTTCTTTATGGCATGAGTTCAACTCGAAAGCACCAGAAGTTTTTGAAGAATAATGTGACGTCATTGTATCCCCTCTTAAACTCCAGGAACTAAGAAGTGACAGCATAGGGTAGAGACGCATATTAGCTGAATGACAGGCAATTACGTGATAGGTCCTCGTGTGATCAAATACTTCACCGGCGTAAATTCATTTCGACTGGAAAAGGTTTGTCGGTGGACGTGCGAGAGGGAGTGTTTTTCCTGACGGACGAATCGGGATTCGTGAGCCGTGGAACCTTGGAACCGTCAGGAGCGGTGTCCACCATCCTCACGCCGTCGCACATCGGCGGTCTCGCCAAGTCCCTCAGCGTCGACTGGATCCACCACCTGGTATACTTCACCGTCCGGATGGATTCCACGTGGAATATCGGGCGGTGCGACCTTAAGGGCGGGGACTTTCGAACCTTTCTCACCGGTCTGATCGCCGAGCCCATCCACATTCAAGTCGATCCTTTCACAGGGTGAGTTCGATTTTCTCCCTCCAATCTATGAGCTCGGCAAGGCCTGTACTTTTAGCCAGATTTTGATAACCCTCAGACGACTGACACACTTGTGAACTGGTATCACTATCGATTCGCAAGAATGAATCTTTTCTATATTTTAGCGAATCGAGCTTCATCCTTTTGATCCACTATCCACTAATCACCGAATTTTTCAAATATGCGTATTAGTGCAATTTTTCCAAGTTTACTATTAACTTACTATTCGTTTCAGGGATGGAGTCTCATTTCTTGTCGATCGCTAATCTCAACATTCGTCGAGCCTTCTTTGGCTAATACTCCTCTATTCATGAATCAGTTTTATACACTTTCTGCCGTTTCCATATAATTCCCTCGTCTACTGCCTAAGTTTTCTCCCGAGCATTTACCTCTGTTTTCTAGAATAATTATTTGTGTGTTCTCCTAGGTACATGTATTGGATTCAAAAGAGACACGGCGCAGGGCTATACGCCATGGACTTGGCCTTAGTTGACGGGAATGGATCCTCGAGAGAGCCGAAAGTCCTCTATCGTTCTGCCTCCCTCGGTGCCCTGACCGTGTACCAGAGAAATTTCTCCGTTTTGGTCGCCGACGAAGCAAAACACACCATCCTCGCCGTCTCCATTGACGGGTATCACCCCAAACTCTTTCTATACCTCTTAAATATATTTTTTTTTGTCAGGAATAATGTTAGTACGAATAATGCCATTGGCGTTCTCTATAAATTCCTCAAAAATGACTAACTCAGAGAAAATAAAATCTGTTGTTCAATATTATGTTTAGAGAAGATATTTTCTTGAACAGGTCGGGAGTGGAAGACATCCGAGGGAACACTCAACAGAGCCAATTGGAACAAGTGTCCGGATTGGCTTACCACGAGGGACTTTTTTATTGGACGAGCGGGCCGCAGCTAATCAGGGAGGAATACTGGCCCACTGGGGGCAAGTACTACCACAACACCTTCCCCTTCAGTGGCACCCAGGGGACACCCTTCCGGGATCTCGTCCTGGTGCACCCGGGTGCCCAGCCCATCCCAGCGCCGGTGAATCCACCCAAGGGACTCCAAGCCGTCTTCAGTACGAATCGAGCCAAGATTTCCTGGCTGTCTGCTGCGCCCATTGACGGACTCGGTATGTTGAACATTATTTGAAAACACCGGGGAATTCAAATATTTTGCTTTTTAAAAAAGTTCAGCTTCTTGGAAGTTCAGATTGTATAAATATGTAGACTCACTATAAGCTCGTCAGTAAATAATGAAGAGAGGAAGATATAGTCGATGGTCTCAAGCTTTTCGAGTCCTTCACACTTTATATAATTGAACTCGATAAAACTCTTACAGATCGATATCCAATCAAGAACTATGAATAATTAATAAAGTAAATTATCGGATAATGTTGAGGCTGAATATTGGGAGAAAAAGATAAGTTCATTTCAAAGAAACATCATACAGGAAAATGCGACACTTTCCCTTTTAGTTAAATTCTTATAATCTCGCACATTTCGATTCAGCAATTCCCAAACAATTCCATTCTTCACCTTAGTTTTCCCAAAGTTTCAATGAATTTATATATTGTGTACCCAGGGCAAGGAGCGTGGAAGGAGTGGTCCTACGAGGTGCACGTGACGCAAGTGGAGGACTCCCTGACCATCTACCGGAGGCCCGTGAACGGAACGGGTTACACCATGACTGACCTACGACCCGATACTTTTTACAAGGTCAAGGTGAGGGCGTACAGCCAGGGTGGAATGGGGCCATGGAGCTCTGACTTCCTGGGTCGAACTCTGAGGGAAGAGTTTGGGGAGACGGCTCCCATCCTCATCTGGAGTGCAAGGGAAGGACTCCTCCAGTCTGACATCACTGGCGAGCACGTGCGACCCATCCTGCACTCGCTCTCCTTTCAAGTGAGTTAAAGATAGCATAGCATCCTTTTTTTCCTTTTTTTTCAGCTCAGAACGACGTAATTAATTTACTTTGAGGAATAGTTGAAGCCTGGACTTATGACGTTGACCGAATGGTATTTTTGCCATCACTTCTTGATGGCATAATATGGCATATAAAAATGTCCACTTGCAAAGTATGGAAACAAACACGAACTCATGTTCGTGTTTAACTTATTGGAAAACGATCGTTATCAAAGCACAAAAACACTCGTATGCACGAAGTGAAAAACTAAAGTCAATATGCTAACTGCTCCGAGATACCGTATGTTGTCAAGGCCGCTTATGTCATTCTTCAGATGCGATGCCAAAGGGACTTGGACAATGTGATCTACATTCAAACAATGAAGCAATCTTTCTTGGTCTCAAAATTGTGTCAGGGAATAACTCTTTTTACTTTTGAAGAATATTCCCCGAAATTGCCAGGAACAGCCAACCATGGGCTTGACAGCGACGTGCTTTTATTTTGCTACCTGTAGGAGGAAGATGGTGAGGAGGTGCACGTAACGCACATCGTGCCACACGAAGACAGCGTGTATTTGGTGATGAACGATTCTTCCCTGTACCGACACGACCGGCACGACGGGAGCCTGTCACTCGTCGCTCACGTCACCTCCGCCTCCTGTCTCGCCCTCGACACCCTCGCCCTCAAGATGTACTGGTCCAACCCCCTTCAGCAGGTCGTAAGTAGGGTCCCATCATCTACAAAGGGTACATGTGACATGCAAGACCCTAGTTGAGCAATGGAAACACAGTCTTGCTTCGCTTAATAATATCGGCGTACACTTGGATACTTGGGAAGTAAATCAAGCTGGAAGCCCTTAGAATTCTTCAACTTTGAAAATTGCTGCGTATTTGCAGCTTTGCATTCATCCAACGATAACTCATGCTAATATTGAAAAGTTTATAGATTATGACTCGATGAATCTTGCTCGTGAAACAACCAGATTTGGCTTAAAATCTTAATCTTTTCAAAAATATGGCCACAAACCTCAATGGAGGAAAATGAAACTAAAATTGAAACGAAAGAGCGAAGCGAAGAGTGAAAGTTTCCTCGTAATTGAAAGAGGTTGAAAATGATGACGGCTACTCCCTCGTAGATTTCTCGGTCGAACCTGGATGGGAGTGACGTGGAGGTCCTGCCGTTGGTCGCCACTACCCAGTTCCTCTCCGTGGATTCCCTCAACGGGTTTCTCTATTTCGCCAGCACGCATTCCGTGGAGAGTTCCCGGCTGAACGGGGCCCAGAGGAGCGTCTACTACCGGCAGGGTTACTTCTCGGGCAAACAAGGTTTCTCCTCCAGTCCAATCTTTCCTCGTCCTAATCACCTAGCAGTCTCTCATACCTTCTATGATAGCTTCGTGGCATTTGTTCTTTATCTACCATAATCACCAGGTCCTGGTTTTCTCTGTTGAAATGGTCCTGGTTGAAATGGTCTACTTTTACAGTTTATCAAAGTCTATCGAATATTAGGTTTCATTATATGCTTTTATACTGCATACCGAACATATCGCATATCTTAGGATATGCAGTATGTTCATAACCCAAAAAAAAAACTCCTGTACACGTGCGCTATCTTTGTTCGTAGTGATGGGTCTGACCGTAGACCTAGACCACGATTACTTGTACTGGCTGGTCCGGAGCTACGAAGGACTTCGAATCTACCAGGGGTCCTTGAGGACCGACCAGGAGTCAGAGGTCAAGGTCAAAGAGGTCAAGTTCTTCCCGCGGGCCCGAGCTACAGGTCGGTCTCCGTTTGTTTCATTTTCGGCAAAAGTATGACGATGGATGATCGCATTTCGAAATTCGTGTTGATTTTGCAGGACCTCTACACTATTTTAGCGACCGCTTCATTTGGTTGGAATCGGAGAGCACGGCCGTCATTTCTGATTTGGATGGCACCAATTTGGCAACGTTGAGGGCCGAGGGGCTTCACGAGTTGAAAACCCTCGGAATCGAGGATCCGCTCAGCCAGACCCTTCCCAGTATGTTTCTCTGAAGGATTTGTGCCACTTTTTTTAAAGACCACATTAACAGATTGGCTGAAGAAAGTTGGCATACATTCACTGTAATACTCTTTGACAAGCGAGCGGCACTCATTCACAAGGACTACTCACCACAATGAATTTATCGGTAATTTCATGTAGTTTCTTATGCATTAATGATGGTTACATGCAAAGAAAGCATCCAATCGCACAAACATCTCATTTTAATGTTCCATAATAAATTTGTAATACTTACTTTTCAGCATTACAATATTAATACTCAATATTTCATTTGCTGAGCTCATGGAATAATGCGAGTCTTAATGTAGACGGAACAACGGCATCAGAGTTGACGGTGAGACCGGATCCAATGTCAAACTCTTCTGCAAAAGTGCTGGGAAGCTGGGACAACTTCACGCTCACTTGGGAAAAGGCCACGGGTGTCAACTATGGGGATGTCTTCTACGAACTCAGCCTAGAAGTTGGGAGACATAAGATCTTCAAGGTCAGTTCCCAAATGAAAATCTGAAATTATTCAATTGAAAACGAAAAGTTAAAAATGTTTTTAGTGTTTAGTCGGATGTATAAATGATCCTTTGTAATTTCTTTGAAACGACGTAGAATGCTCGTGGACTCTACCTCTGAGCTTATGATATGAAAGCTCTGTAGAATTCTCTTGTACTGAATATGCCGCTCCAGACGTATTAAGTTTAGGTAAAAATTTAATTTAGGGATGTTAGTGATAGGTCCAAGTATCGACATTGGGAGACATGCGCACGAATTTCGGCTTGATATACGCAGGTGCTGAACGAAACAGAATACAAGCCTGACTTCAAAGTTCCTGCTTATTCACGCGTGCGACTCCAATTACGACCCTTCACCTATTGGAGCAGTGGTGCCAAGATTTTGCTGGATCTTCGAACTCCCATGTCCGTCCCCGGTGAACCCACGCGCCCCAGGGTCTTCCTTTCTCATCAGCATCTGCCCTTCGCTGACGCTCAGGTCGGGTGCACTTGGAATAGGCACATCCAAATCCAATTCGTAAAAATCAAATTGAAATGAAATACGTTTCTTGGAAATTCTAAACCTCGGTAGGACTTTGCACTTCTCTTTTTTTGTCACATCTTACCTCTGTTATTATCGTGGACTAAGCGAAACGTGGCAATGTGATATATGTACTATCACGATGTAGCAATTCGTAATATGAAGGAGTACATAACTCTTAAGTAGTGGATTTAAAATATTTTTGTGCGGCCCAACTATCACAGTTCCCATAGTCGCAGGGTAGAGGGGGTAATTGAGTTGTCGTTCGATGAATTTAGGGCGCGATGGTGACGTTCCGCTGGAACAAACCCTCTTCTCCGAACGGTGAGATCCTCTCCTACGGAGTCCGATGCTGGCAGTCGCTGCAGGGCAATCAGAGAACCACCGTCTGCGACAATGCGCGCGTCCGAGGAAACGCGACCGAGTTTGTCGCAAGAAACCTTCCACTCGATGGCACCTTCTTTTTTCAGGTTGAAAGACCCTCGAATTTCGCTAATATCTATTGCTCGCTTGGTTTTGGAATATATTGCTTATCGGTTCCCAAACAGGTGGAGGCGATATCAGCGGCGGGAACTGGAAATGCGACTCAGCCCTTACGGATCGTTACCTCCAGGGAGAATCCTCTTCCCTTCTTATTGCTGGCTACATTCGATGCCATCCAGGTGAGTAATGCCGAAAGGAGTGCATAAATGCAATGCAAAAAGGGGATTATTTTGAGATCATATTGGAGGTTGAAACTTCTGGAAGCCGAGTTCAATGAACTGGTGGAGTATGACATGCAAGGATTTAAATATGTTAATGCAACTCGGCGTTGTACAACTCGTTGCAGCATGTAGCAACGTTTTGACTGAGAATGTACAAAAGATTTGCTACTCTGCTGTTTCTGAACGTTTTACGGAATTTCAAGTCGCTTTTGAAGTTGCACGCCGTGTGCAAGTGATACTGTCTCTTATTCTGTATTTCCAGTCCTTCCAGTGCTTGCATTTCGAAGCCGGGGAGCTTTTGCTGATTCAGTGTAACATTTTAGGGCATTCGGAGAGTTGTAACGATATTTTTACGGCGTGTTGGCAACCCATGTCAACATCATCGAAGTCGTAAACTACAGATGTTCGCAAAAAGGAGAGTATTCGTTACGTACCAGTACGTCATACTGTATCTTCTTCCATCGCAATTTTACGGTTTCTTGACATCCATTAAGACCAATTTATAAGATATGGAGTCGACCCATTTCCGAACATCAGTTACACCGCATCGATCTCATACGTCCCATTCCTCTAAACTTGTTACATCATTTGATAAACGGATTTAGGGGAATTTAATGGAGGTAAAAAATGCTGGCCGCATTTACATGGGTCATGCAATAAAGCTTTCTACTAAAAAGACCATGTTTTACCAGAAATATGCATTTGAATGAAACTGTTGCGTCAATTCAGGCAGTACATATCACCCATGACATGGAACTCGAGTCACCTCACTGACATGTCCATTACCCTCCTCGTGTGCATTAATGAGTCGGTAATGCACTCCACGGCGAGGAACCCAGTATTTAGATATTACCTGCCTAGTAGCGTTGAAGTGACGTTGTTACCACTCGCAGATGGCAGATGTGGATTTGAAGAAAGTGACGCCGGTTGAAAGAACGTTGGCGTCGCCGAGGGTCGTCGCCTTCTTGCCACCCGACAGGATCTTCTGGATCGACGACGACCGCAATCTCATGGCTGCCGTCCGCAACGAAAACGACAAGCAAAAGGTAAACGTTTCCGATCATCGTGAAGTCAAAATTCGACTGCTGAAATTCACAACCCAACGTAAAGTTTCTCTTCAGTTCGAGTCCTCGACGTGGCGGACATGATCATATAATTTGATTTGGAACACGTGATTTGATATATGATCTGACAGTCACGATTTGACACCTCAATTCTTATGTTGAATCAGAAGATAGTTTAATATTCATGGGAGGGGAATCATATCGTACATCCTTGATCAGTATCACATGGTTGATATGATGTAATTTAGAGCAATTGGTGTTTAATTTTGATCATTTGCTTCAATGGTCTCTTGAAGCGATTTGTGCCTAGGTTTTAGTGATTTTATTAGCGATTTGGTGTTGACAGTTGCACCGACTACGTGGAGTGGGATCTGCCCTGTCCGTCGACTGGGTCGGCAGAGACCTTTATTGGGCCGAACTCTATCCCCATTCCGATGGGAGCGCCATCTACAGGTTGGATTTGGACGATTTGGATGCCTCGCCTGTGAATGTCCTTCATATCCCCAAGCAAATTCGTGCCCTCGACGTCCTCCCCTTCAACCGGTATGACCAAGGGGAATCTTAATATTATGTCGCAATAGGGTTAAGAGTTCAGCAGAGAGAGTTATAACAAGGAATTGCAAAATAGATATTTTGTACATGGTGACAACTCACGGAATTAAGCCGAAAGAATGAAAGAATTCTCAGAGAAACATAGAAATCGGTTTAAGATACCGTCGATCCTGTAGGGCAGTGTAGGCTATTGAGACAATTTAACAGAGAAATGTATGAGAATTTTTTTGCCTTAGAACGCTGGTGTTTTCGGCGGTGGGATCCGACGGAATCGGACGGATTTTGTTGAGCAACACGGACGGTAGTAATGTCCGCTCTCTCCTTGGATCTCCCAACAGGTAAATTTTCCTGACTGCTGACATCAACGAATCTTTCAATAAATACATTTTTCGTTAAGAAAAATAAATCCCTCGTCTCCAGGGAGAGCGGGGAGGAGAGGTGTAATTGCCCTGGGAACCAGGCGATGGGGGGCGCCATGACCGTGGATAGCTCCGTGACCTCTAACCCTAAGGTCTTGTGGATTGACGGGCTGACCTTTGACCTTTGGGTCACCGATATCGTCGGGTGTCGCTGTCAGCTTCTCCTCAACGCTTCCTTCGCCTCAAAACAAGGTCGGCAAAAAAAGCCGCAAAAATTCAGGGAAATGTTCTCACTAACTTGAGAAATAGAGAACATAAGAAAGTTTCATAAATAGGTGGATTTCACCGGTCGAAATGTGTATACTGTCTTAGACAACAGGAGTCATGCGAAAAGTCCAAGTTTTGCTCAAATCTGTGGCTATTCTTGAGTTCTTGAAAATTCATTTGGCATATACCTGTAGTTGTTTTTATTTTTTTTTATGACAGGTCTCCCTCCGTCTACCTTGGCGATAGACACGAACAACGTGTATTGGTCGAATGCGAGCACGGGGCAAGTATTCTATATCCGCCGATCCAGTAATGCAAATGAAGTTCCAAAATGTGAAAATCTCACTGCCAGAGGTGTCCAGGGCATCCGAGCCATCGCCAGCAACCTCCAGACATATCCCAGTGAGTCTTCCAGGCGAATCTCCCTCCTTTTCCTCCTACTCCAGTCTTCATGTTCTGTTCCTCATTGTGACAGATCCACGATGCCTAATGCCCCTTCCGTATTCCTCACCACCTGAACTGATGAATGCGAGTTCGACGAGCATGACCTTTCGACTCCAGCCGGCCTCTGTCGACCCTTCGTGCCGGAATATCACGATGGCCACCACCAAATATCGGATCTATTACGGAAGACTCGGAGGACGACTCGTCTCCGGATGCCAGAATCGCCTCAGTGCCTGCCAGACAAAGGTTGGCTTTACCAATACGGTCTTCGCTGACTAAGGAGGAGTATTAGAGCAGTGATTTTCGTTCAGTTTTGCGCGTGTCTGCAATCGTTAGCATACAGGAACACCTCTCATAACATCTGGCACGATGCACCTATTTGGAATAATCGAGGTAAGGAACTCGGCTCAAGGAAGTAAGCTTCCCCGTGAGAGTGAGGAGCGGCAGTGGAATAACATGTAAAAAATTTGCTAGTTTAATTGTTCTTATCACTCCTACATCCTGATTTTCGTAAAACTGTTCTACTATACAAGTTCTACGGCATGCTAGTGTTTTCTGAAAGAGTAAAAGCTAGTTGAGTAGTTTTATAAATAGTCCCTGATACCTGAAGTTCTACAGTATTTTCAACGGCTTACAGATTCCAATTTAGTACTGGTTGAGTAACTCTCACTATGATAAGTATATTGGTGCTAGAGAGTAAGGCAATGAAAGACCCTGTATATAGTCAGAGCATATATGTATGTTCTGACATATTTTTAATAAATACCAGTATGCACTGTGAGCTATTTGCCATGTTTCAAATGGACTTTGCATTTTAATTCAAAAATTTATATCAAAGCAAGGAATACCAATACGAACTTTAGGGCCACTCTATATGGATTCAAAGTTGTGACTTTTCCCCGAACCCTGTGGGCAAGATGGCTGTGGTTTTCTCTCATTGGAGCAAACCTAGTCCAGTCACCATGACATTGACAGAATTTATGCAAATCACAAGGGGAAAAAAGTTTCATGTATGGATAAGTTACTACTTGCTTGACTACTTTTAAAGTAAAGCTTGGCTACTATTAAATAGCGCAAAAGTAAGTCAATCTAGTATTTTCGCTATTTAGGACGCTAGGTGAGAGTGAGAGTTAGGGTGGGTTAAGGTTTAAGGGTTAAGACGGAGTTTCAGGGGTTTCGAAGAAATATGTTGCTTAAATGTTTTCCAAAATTCCAAATAATTTCCCACGGAAGTGACATTATTGTTTGGGGAGTAATAAATTTATGAAATGAATGCCATAAACAGTTATTAGGCAATACATGAGCACACATCGCACTATTATGATCTCATGCTAAAATTGGAAGAGGAGAGATGAGTTATCCGCAAGCAGAAACGTTGATGTGCCTCACAATGATGGCCGCATCGAGGGTGTGGGCAGTGAGCATGTTGCCGGCAGACGAAGCATGTATGTAAATCATGCCAATGCTTGTGTTTTGAGACTCGAGTAAAGATCGACTGCTCCGCGGGGTGTTTGAAAAACAATGAGTCATCTTGCAGGCTTCTTTCACCGTGGACTCTATTTAGTGGACTTCGGCCTATTCATAATCCTGCGTTAATGCATGCATTTTTTTTTAATTCGTTCGAGGAAGAAAGTATGAGTGAACTGGAACCCAAATATTCGTAAACGTACATAGGTGTATTTATCAATGAATGCTTTAATGCAGGGGTGTCCAAAGTTTCGGTGTAACGGGCCACATTGGAGGTAGAAACAATGGTGCGAGCGGGTTAGCAAAACAATTATTTGCTTAGTTTTATTTATAGATAAGAAATTAAATAAAAAGGACACATGGAGTACAATTCCACATGCATTTTATTTACTTGAATGCGAAACTTGCTACTTCATCAAACTCTTGAAAGTGACAGCAGAGAACAAAAAAAAAAAGAGTTTTTCTATGAAAATTCAAGTATGAAGAAGACATGAATGGCACACGAAATTCGCGGATGCCGGTGACAGATGTTCGTATCGTAGAACCTTTTTTTCTCCATGGCAGTTATTCCTGAGGATCAACCAAGAAGTTTGAAGGGCCGTGGAGAAAATCCTTCCGAGCATGTGTATGCCGAAAGGGTCATTTCAAGTTCTTTTCTGATAATGCGAGATGGCTTTGTCAATTCTCTGGAGTTCATCGATTTCGATGTTTTCATGCATCCTCTTGGATTCATAAAGAGGGATGTAAAATGAATAGCTTGGAATCCTGGATTTTTTGTTTCCACTCGGTGAAGATTTGGCATGAAAGACAATGCACTTGCAGGAATCGAGGTCGGAGGTGATGGTGCTGGATGGACTGGAGCCGCACTCGAAGTACGTGGTGCATGCAGCGGCGGGGAATCATTACTCGGAGCTTGGAGGGGGACCCCGCATTCTCTCTTCTCCCCGCTTCTTCAATACCACCGCTCGCCGTCAGTTTCAGCCAACTTTAAACAAGAAATAAAAACAGACAACTCCGTAGTTGCGAGTAGAATTTTATTTAAATTAAATTCCTTACCCTCAAGATCACAGATAATTCTGAGTTCTTTTTTGTGCCACCTAAGTTTAATATTGACTTATTGTCTCAGTAATATAACGTACGGATCACTATCAAAGACCTAATTCCAGAGACTTTGAGTTATTTGAAAATTACGTTACATAAAGTTACTTTCAGTATTAGTGCGAATGGGCGTTTGCGAGAATGACAGCATAACATTTTAATTTCGAAACCGAATTTAAAAAATTGACTTAATATTAGAGTGGTCTTCAGAATGCGAATAGTTATAATATCTTGCTAATCGTAAATTTTAAAGTTTCAATTTAAAGTTCATCATGAGATGAAATGAACAGGAGGAATTGTTATGTTGAAACGCCGATTCTTTCATGCAGCCCCCGAGCCCGCACGAAACGTGACCTGCGAACCGTTGACACCCACGGAGATACGGGTGTCCTGGCTACCCGGAAGTAACCAGTCGAACCAGGGTGTGACATACGATGTGCGCTGGAGGACTGAGGGTACCAGTGGTGGGATAACGGTGCAGGATGCGACAGCGTTGGTGATTCCCAAGAGCTCATCTCCGATTGATAATCGCGCCTTCTTCTCCACCGAAGTCCAATTCCTCCAGGAGGACACCGATTATGAAGTTTGGGTGAGATCTACCAGTCATTTCGCATTGGGAATCCGCATGAGGCCAATACTCAAACTTTGACCAACCTAACCTAATATACTACATATAAATGTCATGTGATCGGGTCGGGGGGGGGGCAATGTGGACCTCAGTGTGATAGTTGAGTAAAAGAAAACTAGAGGGAAAATTTGAAGTGATTTTGGAGTTAAATGTTCTTTTAAGACGTTGGGATGTTTTGACGGGGATTTTTCATCTGTTCGATACAATTTCGGAAACTTTTCATCTGGGATTGCTTATCTTGGAATATTTCATCAGGGTGCTGTATTGTACCATATGCAGGAGAAAAGAACCATTTTGAGGTGTAGGAATTTTCCACCAAGCTAAGGAATCCCATTCGGGGTTGAAATTCGCAAAAATGCCGAATACATCTGCTGTGAAGCTCTGTGATGTCCCTGAAAGAATCTTCGAATTCCCTCACTAGTCAAGAAATACCTTTCATGCTCAAGCGATCGCATCGAGTATTCCCGATTCGAGGATACCTGGAGGATCTCCACTGGATTCTTGGTTACTAGTGTTCTTAGCGAATTTATTAGATTTCTAGTTATTATATTGAGGGATTGAAACATGTCTAGATTATTCTGGCCTCAATGTCATGTCGCGATTAAGTGTACCTTGAAGGTGTGCTTTTTCTCCTCCCGAGACTCTCCTTCAAGTAAAGAGCTAAGGGACTGGGAACGTTTGCAAATTTCATCATGTTATTTTGTAATCAAGGATAATGAAAGGTCCGATTCTACAGGAGAGAAGAGGCTTCTTCATCTTAAATCAAGTTTGAGATCAAATGCAGATTTTGAACTCGGTCGATTGAACGATCTTGGCATGCCCCTACTTCATTAACCTCGCTTTTGTGTGCGGTGATGATCATGAATTCATAGGAGTCCTATTGTGTGCAGGTTGAGGCGTATGCAGTGGACCGGTTGTCTCATTCCCCAAGTGGAGTGGTGCGAACGAGAACCTTCCCAACCCCGGGGCCAATACGGAAGGTGAATGTGACATCGAGGACCATCAAACTTACCTGGACTTCTCCCCCTGGGCATCTTCTATCTAGGTTGGCCTTTACGTCCTTTTCATTTAGGGACACAAATGAATGCTCGATGTTACCGTTCAACGTTTGGTGTCCCTTTTGACAGTGGAAGTGGCACCCCCTTATTTTCGCAGGCCTTTTATTTCAAATTTAAAAAAAGCCCAGGGCATTTCACAGTCGGTAGTTGAACGGCCCTAAAAAGACCCTGATACTCTGAGCTTCTGTGCAGTAAATTTTATTGCTACTTGGCTGAAAGTGCTAAATGCCTATTCAATGCCCTCGATTGCATCCATTTGTTCCTGTTAGGAGTCACCCCAACAGATGCCGTCACATTTTTTTCCCACGTATCTCATTAAGAAGATTTTGATAGATGGAACATTTGTCATTCAATCCAGTAGTTTTCTATTCTTAGAATTTCGTGAACTTCTTCGCTCTCTCCAGCGTCTATCAACTTATGAAGTTCTAGGCTCATTTCTTCATGCCAGTCTGAACCAGTGAACTCATTCTCATTCTGGTTATTTTCATATGCAGTTACAGGATGGAATATTTGAGCCTGGGATCGAGTCGATGGAACGTGTCCAGACCGGTCTCCCAACAGACCCCGCTCCATTCCATCAGTGAGGGGCTTGCAGCAAATTCCGGTCCTGTCCGATACGAACATGTCATTCGAGACCTCCAACCTAACACTTCCTACACGTTCCGAGTGGATGTGACCTACGCTCTGTCCGGCCGGTCCTTCCTATGGCCTCTCGATAACCGGTTCATCTTTCAGACCTTGGGTAAGTAAATAGCTATTGTGAATTAGTTTTCTCATATATCACAATAAAAGTTTCAGCGCCACCCCTAGGCAACAGCAGAAAGATTGGCTTCACCCTTTTGGATTGATCTGAGATGGAAGGATGAGTGTGCATCTGGATGATCCAAACAACTAGGAAGACATTGGAGAATCAAGTGTTAATTTAACATCGTGGTAGATGTAGGACACCATGTAGTAGATGTGGGACTGTAAAGCGGGCAATAAAGGTTTTGTCTAGATTTACTCATTGGTTAAGCCAAAGCACTTGAAGGTTTTTATTGTATGGTTCGCTCTTCCGAATATTCTCCAAAAGTATGGAGAATTCTGTAACAAAATTTGGCACAAACCGAATATGAACAAATAAAGATTTTGTTTGAAAATTTTCAATAAGTCAAAGCTGCTGTAAATAAGAATATGAGAATGAAAGCTGTGCATGCCAAGAAATAGAGTTCAGTACTGGCGGGTATGGTGCTTGCTTGCTGCCAGAGTATTCTTCCCGTCTTCTCGTCTCTGACGAGAAAAAATTATCCCTTACTCTGGAATATCTCCTTTCACTCTCTGACGGTTTTTTTTTTGTGCGAGGGGAAAACTTACGGATTGTATCGTTTCTCCTGGATGCGTCAGGTGATCGACCGGAGATGGTGGGAGCGCCAACCATCCTGACGTTGGGAGACAAGCACCAGGTTTCATGGGAACCAGCGCTAGAGAACGGATCACCGGTGGACACCTACATCCTCGAGATGAAGGCCGAGGGATACAAGGATCCCCAACCTGAGTTCTGGAGGATCGTCTACAACGGATCTGGCAAGTCTTGCTCATTTCCCAAGCTAGGGATTCACCAATAATATTCACCTATGCACCCTTACTTCCAGCCTTTGAATTTTGACGAAATTCCTGAGCTCACGTGTCCAAAGGCCCTTAGCACGAAAAGCTAGCATTGAAAGGGATTGTAAATTAATTTTATTCGGAAAAGAATGCGTTGTGTCAGCCAACAAGCGCTGTTGGAACTCGTCGTTACAAGCAGGGCTGAATGATGACGTCATTTTGCCATACATGTAGCAAGCATTTGGGTGCACCAAGTGTCGATCATGTACAAGAGAGCATGCACCGACGTTTTCCTTTCAAGTAGGATCTGTTGCCCATGCGTGAATTCATTTGAACCCGTTTCAACTTTCGAGCCAGGAAATTCCATCGATGGCTCTACCCTAAAAATGCTAATACAGCACGAAAGCGCCTTTACGCTTATTTTATTATTGATATATTTTCTCTCTAATTTTCGAAATTATCCTCCTCGCGATTAGCGAAGTCATCTGCGAAGAAGAGGAAAGACATTGTGCGTTGAGGCAGTGAATTAACGGCAGAGGGAGGGTGTGCGTTCAGCAAATGCATTTACGCTTTTAAGAACTCTTGAAGGAAGAAAAGGGGGGATTGACCCACCCTGAGGTGGTTTTTTTTAATTACGGAAGCAAAATCCCGGAATGGTGTGGATTGCATTAGCGTAAGATTATTAATATTGAGATATTGCGAAATATTGACATATTGTAAGATATTGCGTAAGATGTCTTCTTCGAGGACTCATAAATGACAGAATCGTCCACGGCCTTTGCAGAGACCCACTGGATGGCATCGAACGTGGACCCAGACGAAGTCTACGTGTTCCGAGTGACGGCTCGCAACGGCTACGGAAGCAGCGACCCGAGCCGAGACAGTCGGAAGTTCTCCGTGAACGTGGCCATCCCGGAGTCTTCGGGCCACCACGCCGTTGTCCTCGGCGTCGTCATCTCCGTTCTCCTCGCCCTCATGATCCTCGCCACCGCGATCTTCTTCTATTGTTCGTTTACATTCATTTCGAGTCCGCATTCTAGAATTCCTTTTCATAATTATATATAGCAAGAAGTAAATTTCATAAGTATCATTACAGAACAACCGTCTGATCTATTCCAATCAAAACTGTTGCATCTTCTAAGTGCCTTTTAAATATACTTACCAAAAAGATTTTGTGATGCGAACCTAGGGTTCGGCGCTGACACTCAACTTTCACCATGGTGAATTTTGGGAGTTTGCAGTCGAAGCTTCTTTCAAAGGGTATTTCTTCCTTCTGCTTGACGTCGACTGCTGATTGTATCCTGCAAATCAAATTTGATTGAATCCATGATAACGAGAATTTATCTGGTTAAGGATTGCTGCGATGAAGTGAAATTGGAGTTCTTTTCAAGTATCCATTTTTCAAAAAGAGGAAGCTAAATGTATCGCAACGTTTCTCTATCATTCATCGTAGTGTTCAAGAGGAAAGAGGCGGAGAAGAAGATGCTAAACCACGAGCTCATGCATCGAGACATGGAGCTGGCAACGCTACCGGAATTGCCCCGAGATGGGAATTTCATTCAGGCCACGAATGCTATCTATCTGGGCTCAGATCCTCCAACGGACGAAGAAATCGCTCTGTTGCCGCGAATCGCCAAAGAAGACATCACTCTCACTCACTTCCTCGGCAGTGGTGCCTTCGGCGAGGTCTACGAGGGTGTTGCAAGGAACGTTCAGGGTTTCGGTCCCCAACTAATCAAGGTTGCCATAAAGGTACGATTAAGATTACCTTCGCCAAACCATAACGTTTTGCGGTAGAAGTACGACAACTGGTACTTAAGTGGGCGTAACGTGTCGAGCCCTAGGTGTTAGTGAGATCGTTAGGAGGAATTAGGGGAGATAGAGAGGAGCAAAAGACTTAGAATTATCTTTTCCCCATAGGATACTGTGCATTTCATGGGATATTGCTATGAAATGATTGATTTAACCCTCGCCTCATCAAGTCTTGAACCTGGCGCTAATAGTCCATATGGATACTAAATGTACCCTATTCTGTATTTTCAAACTTTATCCATGAGTATATTCAAGTTCCAGTGCAGTATTTGAAAAGTGATTATTGTGATATCAACCCATGATATTGCAAGGAAACGGCTCGACAAGATTATCTGCGTCTACCTCTCCTCACACCTCTCCTGTTACCACCTCTCCCTCTCACCTCCCTTGAGAAAATTTCCGAGTAACAGACGCTCTCAACTTTATATGACCATGGGTCACTCTCGAACTAAAAATGGAGAATCACGAGTGAGACATCAGCCAGCATTTGAGTCGACTTGCGTTTGTTCCCTCTCTGGACATGTTATGCCTGTTTACAATCAGTACATTCTCTTTTGGATTGGAGAAAGTGAAAAATGCAGCTTCTTCGGCAAGGACCCGGGAGACTTGAGAATATAGATTCATATCATCGGTTAAAAGTGAATATCTTGAAGTACCGTGAGAGTCGCTGAAATGGTTACGAAATGGAATTGAAGAAACTGGCGCATCGTACCTCTGCTGTACCTTTGAGCGGGAACTTCGTCGTCTTAATTTTTTTCAAGGCTTGCTTAGAAATGTGCGGAACAGCGGTTCACCACATCGTTAGGCAATAGCTAGCCAATGCAAAGGCTGTGTGATGAGAAATGGCCACTTGGACTTATCTAAGGAATGAACTGTATAAGCCAGTTCTAACACTTGCTGCCAAATTAATACAAGTTTATGTGTTAGAAATCAGCGGTTATTCTTAGCATGCCGATGGTCAAAACCTGACTCCATGATTGAGTCAATATTTAGTGTTTTATCTCATGTACTTGAGTTTTGCTGAGTGAGCAACGGAGGAAAACCGTTGCTTCCATGCTGTTTTCACTTTTATACCCTCTTGTAACCCAAACCTTTTCTAAGAACCTTCAGGAACTGGGAGTGCACCTTCTCATCGTAAAATACCGTGGGTAAACAAATATCACGTGTTTGTTTCGCCGTTCATCTCCTTTTCGACTGAACATTACACTAATTAACTTTTGTTTCTATGTGGATAAACGCGATACTTACCCAAGCTGTACATTCTCTTCAAAGAAAGAATTTCACATTTTGTTGCTCCGATATTCCCTGCTGTTGCTTCTCAGCAGCTTCTCACGAAGTGGAGATAAATTCTGAGATCCCGCGAAAGAGAGGATGGATTCTACGAATTTGGGGCACGTGCAAAGCTTAGAAACGAGAAGCTGAACTGGTTTGGCAATTTCATCTCTATGAAAAAAAAATCGATCATAATGAGTCACACCTAAGAACGTGAATTCCTCAAATATTTAGGTTGAGTGATATGGGGGAGAGGTGAAAGTACAATTTTTAACTAGGCTTTTTCAATGCTTTTCAAGGAGACTTTTAACAAGGTTCTTGCTTCTATTTTTTTTACTGCGCGACTGTAATATTCATTACGTGCCAAGAATTAATCTTGGGACAAGGGCCTACTCGTTAGTAGACGAAGTCCCGATCACACAAGGACGAATGAAGCTACAGTTTCACCCTCCCCCCCTCCCTCTTCCACCACCAGTAGCCCACTAAAAATCAAATATGTGTTTTGGTAGACGCTTCGGAAGGGGGCGACGGAAGTGGAGAAGGGAGAATTCCTCAAGGAAGCAGGGCTCATGAGCAACTTCAAGCACGAGCACATCCTTCAGCTGCTGGGGATCTGCTTAGATTACGATCGGAGCTTCCTCGTCCTGGAACTGATGGAGGGCGGGGATCTTCTCACTTACCTCCGCTCCAATCGACCCAACGAGGTAGGCTGATTCGAAATAATCTGTATCATCTGTATGCGGCCTTATTCCAAATGTACAGTATTTCCCTTCCGAATCCGAGAACGGAGAAACTTTTCCTGTCAGAATCAATTAAATTGATTCGGATAATGCGGAAATATCCAGTAAGGGGCTTCCGAAGATATCTGGTATGCAAAAATCTGGAAATTAGGAAGAGAGGGTAGGCTTCTCGCAGTAATAGTGCCAAAAGCTGTTCACCTTCCACCATCCTCCCATAAAAGCCTGCATATTACATTCTTTGTGGACTTCCCTACAGTCGCAGGTTTTTCCCCAAATGAGTACATTAATTAGAGAACCGGCAGGGAATTAAGCAGAAAAATCCTGAACTATGAAAAAAAGATTGTAATAGTATTTGCTTGCTGTTCACCCAGTATTTATTACATGATGATATAACACGATAGATGAACAACACAATGTATGCTTTTTCGATCGAGACCTGCTCTATTATTTTGCAATGAGGTATCACCCATTTTGACTGCAGTAGTACATAAATGCATTCGACGCTTATTTTCTTATCGATTGCTATGCCGTCCTGAGCACACGAAATCCCTCCGACTTTGGGAAAATATTAGGTTTCGATTACATATGCTCTATCACTCAGTTCTCACTCTATGACAATTGCAAGTGTCAGTGTGAGAGCTTTCATTTTCGAAATGTTCAGCAATCAGCAACAATGGAAGATCTGTCAGAAGAGGACGATAGTGAGTTACTTTTCAAAGTAGATCTAGAAATTCCCAAAGAATGGGAAGGCTATCCGCCTCGTCCTTCGGACAATATCAACCGTAACAAAGTTTCATTGGAAATTTGAAAGTAAGAGTTAATCAAACCCAAAAATGTTGATGGCAATTTTATTGACGAGAGACGATGAAATAAATTATCAGTGTTTCCTAAACGCCACGAGGGAATAAGCTCCAAATGCATTAATGGATTACGGACGGATCTTCCCCCCAGAATATGAAATAGTAGTCCTTAAAATATGTTCGCCACATGGTGTACTATGGGTACACATTGGACATATTTTCAGATGGTCATCATGGTGGTGAGCAGCTTTTATTAGCCACTTGAATCGTCCAGGATTCAGATTTGTCACGGAAAACATCAAAACAAGAAGACGACATAAAAAATACTAAACAAAATTATTTAAAGCTATACAGCATCAAACACGGTATCATTACGAAAGCTACGGAACGGAAGGGAACGGTATCATAAGCTCACTAAACGAATTAAAAACCAAACCAAACTGAACTAAAGACCAACACAACATGAAACGTCACATCACAACATGAAAACCAGAAAAAATTCCATTACGTTGCGAACGCTTTACTTGAGCTGATATGTGCGCTGACGTGCAGAAAAGCGTATATACAAAGGGAGCATTTTTTTCTTACCTATAGCATGGACCGAGCAAACTGACTCCCTATGACCTGCTAAGCATGTGCATAGACGTGGCCAGGGGCTGTCGGTATCTAGAGGAGATGCATTTCGTGCATCGGGATTTGGCATGCAGAAACTGTCTCGTCACCACTCACGACCTGCCGTTGAGGAAGGTCAAAATTGGCGACTTCGGCCTCGCACGAGACGTCTACAAGAATGACTACTATCGCAAGGAAGGCGAGGGTCTCCTTCCCGTCAGGTAGGCTACATGCCTCGTTTTTTCAGGAATTGACTAATAAATGGTGAATGATTTTCGAGTTGGTGACAGTGCGCAACTTTTACCGTTTGCTAGTCACCGAGCCAAATCCAAGGCCCAAAATTTGAATTCAGAACATTTTAAAACCTGAAACTACCTTCTGGATCCAATACACCCTGCTTCAAAATTTAACCAGTCGTGTAGGCTGAGCCGTAAACCTTTCTTTGTCATTTGCTAAACTGTCAACTGTAGCCAATAAATTATAATTCTACATATTTTACCATATTTATTTTTGCGTTGCTGTGTTGTACAAATTAGATACTGGATCCAGTGAACCTAATGGGTAAGACGTCTTACAAAATCTAGCGGGCAGTTCCAGGGTTAATACAACTTCAGGATTGGGATTCTTCGGATATTAAAAAAAATCGCAATAGATTGCATGAATACGAAGGAATTTTGATATTTTAAATATATATCAATAACTCTATTTTGTATTCTGCAACGTGATGTGAAAAGCTATGAAGATGCACCGATAAGCATGCGAATTCGAGTCATGCTTGCTTAAGATCTCCAAGAATTTTTCACATTATCTCCAATAAAAAAAAAGTGTATTATCACGCGTAAAAGAGGAAAATATTTACATTCACGTGTAGGTGGATGGCACCCGAGAGCCTGGTGGACGGTGTCTTCACAAGCCAGAGTGATGTTTGGGCATTCGGGGTCCTCTTGTGGGAAATTTGGACCCTGGCACAACAGCCATACTACACACTGACGAATTGGCAGGTGCTTAAGTACGTCCGAAACAGAAGCGTGCTCAACAAGCCTGAATTGTGCCCTGACGACATGTGAGTTTGAGCTCCACGCATCTTTTCAGCAGTGTACCTGTATATTCTAAAGTGATCCGAAATAATCCCCTTATTTTTTATATTTTTGATTAAATTGAGTATTGATATTTTTTAACTTACCTGAACCATTTCCATTTCCATTGTCTTATCTGAACCATTTCCATTTATTATCTACTCCTTTCTGATTCCCTATGCTTTTCACAATCACGGCTAAATGCCTGAATATGAAGGGTACTTTGTTTCATTCAGACCTTTGACAGGTTGAGAGCGCTTTTTTTAATACTGCTATTTATCCATCTCTGTACTCTAACTGCTTTGAGCCTATGCCAACAAGGGTGAGTTTGCTGCATACAGATCCCTTGTGAAAATAAGTAGACTTTCTTACCTTTGACCTCCGACTCTTCAGCAGAGTCCAGCAGATGTTTATACGAGGGGGAATTTTAAAATTCCCGGACTCTTTCCTCCGCCATTAGTTCCTCTAAGAACTGGCCAAGTTTTTGGTTGATATGGTTTGCTGAGGCGGTTGGGATTGTTTTTAAAGTTTTTCAGATATAAATCTCATTTACAACAATTTAAGGCCTTTTTATATTCTAGGCCACGTTTTTACACTGATGGAAGACACAATTTTCGACGAAGAAGGGTGAAAAGGTTTTTTATTTTTATTTTCAAAAGGCTGAAAAAGGTTTATGGGGACAAAATTTTGTTTTGCAGCACAGTTTTTTAATAGCCAAGTCGTTTTGGGATGGAAGTATCTAGGTTATTTTTATGGGGAGCATTCTGGGAGACCCTCAACAACTGTCAAACTTCAAATTGTCTAACTGGGGGAAGTTCTCATCTTGGATGATCGTGCATTTAAAGTGCAAAGAATGAAATGAGCTGAACTTGCTCAGTTGAGATATTGGCAACCTCTGAAGTGTCCTGTGTCAATCAGCGATCCAAAATGACAATGTTCAATCAGTTGGCGAGAAAAATGGTTAAGGATCTCCCAGATTGGTCGTCCTCAGAAAGAGTCCTTCCAGTCCTGAAAACGACTTGCCCGGCCAAAAACTGTGTGACTAGACAAAAATACTCTTCCGTGAACGATACTTGCCTTTCGACAATTTGTGGGGCTTTTTTACCCTTCTTAACCAAAAACTCCACCATTGCCCAGAGCTACACCGAAAAACTTGCATCAACTATTTCCCATAGTCACAGCGAACCCATCCCATCCATAACATTGGGTCAGCTCTAAGAGGGTCACCTCCAACTTTCTACCTCCTCTCGGAGGTAGAGGGAAAAAGTCCGCGAGCTTCTTAATTGTCCCTCGTACATGTATGCTACGAAAGACTCATTCGCCTCCGCTTTTCAAAGATGAATGAGGGAGATGGAGGAATGAGACTTGCGAAGATTAAGCACACGAATTCGCGAGACTCGAATTTCTTATAATTTTGGTAAGCGAGCAGTGCCAAATTGATGTTAAATGCATCGTATTGTAACGGCCATCACAGCAGAAGCATCTCTGAGGTTTGACAGCAATAACGCGCTTTAAATCCACGTGGTAAAATGACAATTTATGTTTCTTCCTCGAAACTCGGTTGGTTCTCATTTTCACGACTTCGAATTCCAGATCCCGGCATGATAGGGGGAAAAAATCCCGAAATTTAAAAGCAAAACAGGTGCGAAAGTAATGGTGGGATCGTTGACATGAGTGATGACAATGTTTGTCCTTTGAACAGCCACGACCTGATGATTCAGTGCTGGAGGTACGACCCATCGGGTCGACCGTCGTTCGAGCACTGCTTGAACCAGTTGAAAGCGGCGAACCACAAGTTGGCTCAACACCCGGAGCAGCACGAGCAGATCGGCTCGAGACCTGTTCATGGCAATGCCGTCCATAATCGCAACTACCTCGCCTCCACGTCCACTCCTCCAGGTGAGTTCATTTGCGATATATTTTGCACGGTTGCTCTAACATCTGCCAAAATTGGAAGGCATGTGCATGGCTCTGCTCTTGCGATCCCAGGTCCAGGGTTCCAGAACCCCGCCTACGACGAGGAGGATTCCTGGCCCCTTCATTCAGGTGGGAGTGTTACGCTTTCGCCAAGAAATGTTAGCAATGGCAATTTTGCACGCGCTTGTATTTTGCAGCTTATTGAGAAGTGGCCCTTAGAAGAAAACGTGGACAGAAGCATCAAAAAGAAAACCTAACTTCCTGTCATCTCCGTGTAATAATCTGCCGATTGCGTACCACTTTTTCTTTGCCAGTTAGCACGAGATCAGGTGGCTGTATTCAGTTTTAGGAAGTCTTGGAGTACTTGTGACCCATCACCGTTATGTCTTAACAAAATCAAGTTACTAATACTTGTAAAGAGTAGGTTTTTCACCAGCAACGAAACCTTGCATCACAAAGATTGAAAGATTTTTCGTTACTTCTGATTTTTCCTTCGCGATGTATTCACAATCACTTCACATTCGAGTGAGAAGCGCTTAGTGCATTTAGCACATATATGCGTATGATGGCATTGGTCTCAATCGGCAGATTATTGACTCGGATGCGTAAAATTAATTGAAATTGTACCGGTTTCTTCTGAAAAAAAGCTCGTGTTCACATCAAGGGGTGCATTGCTTTTAGGAAGCATCAAGTTCAAATCGAATTCCCGAATGAATCGCTAAAAACAACGATCCGGATATTAATCCGGAACAAAAGGGTTTCATATCTTTAATATTTACATGAAGGTCCTCTCATTATTGGGCGCTTTCTGAGAGACTAGAAGAAGAATTCTAAGGTAGCTTGACCGGGAGGTATTTTCTTCGTCCTTGTCTCTGAATTCCATGAAGCAGTGTTCGTGACATTTGTGCTGACATTTATGGACTTTTTTTTTAGGTGTTATTAGGGAATATTTTAAGTTGCTTTGAAAGAGAGGAGTGATAATAATTCTATCGTAATAATTGCCAAGAATGGAGATGCGATGAGTGTAATCTAATTCACAGCAATAGTAATCGGAAAAAGGAGCCTTTCAGCAACATATCATCGGGTGGTCATAATAGCTGTATAGGCTCGAGGATACTGCCGGTGTTAAGTGGTGACGAAGTAAAAGTAACGTGTTAGAGTAACTAGTTACGTTTTACGATAATATCAGTGGTTACGAATTATTTTGCAGAGATTAGTAACGGAAGCAGCAACTAGCAACTAGCAACTTTTCCAAGGAAATTGTCAGTTGCGTTTCTTTCTTGATGATAGACTTAACTTTAGATGAAAGTAACGAGCTCTGTATTACTACAATTCATCCTTGCCATCACTGAAACCATTCACAAAGCTGAAAGCGCAGTTTATTTGCGATACACCCTAGCAACCGATGCCGCTGTAGAGAAGCTATTCATTGCAAGCGAAAACAGTTTCACCTATGACAGAAAATGTATTATACCAGCTTTGAGAGCAGTTCCTTTAAGAGCGGACTTGAGACCACGTCCACACCAGAAAGTTTTCTTGCGTAGACGATGAAAGAATGTTGCAAAAGAAATATTTTTGACAGAAAACTTTCGAAGAAATCTCCCAGAGCATTGAAAATCTTGCATATAAAACGTTAAAAGACGTCCCCATGACGAAATTTTTCTTTGCAAGTCGACTTGCAAAGAAAAACAGCATATACAACTTTCTGGTGAGGGGGAGGACGAACACATGCGAGTGCATCCCATGCTTCTAACTCCGGGAGAGCACCAGCTCAAGTTTTTTGCTCCCTCGCATGAAAGCACTGCGCTCCATTTCTTGGGGGTACTCTCACGGACCTGAGTCGTCCGTGGAGAGGATTCTTCACGCTGAACGTCTTTCATGCTACTAAACCAGCATGTGCAAACCCTCCCTGAAGTGCAATACGAAGCTAGGATAGAAATTTCCTGGTCATTCACCGAATACTGCTAGAATGAAGACCAGTTCCATGTCGACAGAGCACGGGAAAAGCAACTTGGAAAATAACTTGTTCTTGTAACTAGTTACGATTGGTGAGAAGAAATAATTTTAAATAATTACTTCTCGGATGGAATAGTTGTAATTGTAACTGCTTACTTTTCACATGTAACACGTCCAACATTGGATACTGCTTCTATGTCGGTGAACTGGAAGTTATTTATGCCGTACCGAGAAACTGTACATTGTACCAAAGCGCCAAGTATAAAGAAAAGGAAGATGGGATCAACATCTATAATCATGAGAAGTGTTGCTATCTTCATCACGGTATCACCGCGATAATTAGGAATCGGTATCCAGGGAGGTGAAGACGACTGCAGATGGTTTGCTCACCTGAGTCTCGAGAAATTCATCGCCTGGGTGATGAAGTTCCCCAATTATTTTCGGAGAAAGAGTCGGAGAAAAAAAAAAAAAGATGAACACAGACAAACTCTTTGGTACACTTTCACTTTTCGATAGACGAGAAAATGTAGACGAGGTCTCTATATTTTCCATGAGAGACGTCTAGTACTGGCTGAGGAAAGCTCTCGAAGGGACGGGAATCGAGTCTTAGTCCATTTCCCCAACTGCTATTTGAGGTCGGTCTTACTGTCGGGAAATTAGTCTCCCTGTCTTCCCAGACCAATGCCAACAAAAACCCTATAATGAAACTGAGAGAAGTCAAAAAGGAATCTCTTCAACTTTTAGCAACCTCCACGTGGATGATCCTGTCATGCACAACTGATGATCTGCATGTGCATTTGAGAAACTTAAACTTACTATTTAATTATAACATGCCACGTGAGAAAGTCAGATTCCATCCTACAATGCAACCCACTCATGCATAGCTCGAGCAAGTTAATAATGATATGGGCTCATTTCTTTATAGGGGATTCCTTACTGTCAACAGTGAGCAATGTGAGCAACAATGATCGGACGCAGTTGCTACCTGATTCCGATCCAACTACGCCGACGACGACCGAGATCCCAAAATACTTGGACCTGGTCAGTGAATCTGAATCCACTGACGGCTACGAAGTTCCCAACCGTGCACGCGGGTCCCATCCGAACCTGTCCCGCGTTCCATCGGACACGGAACCACGGGCCTGCAGTCTCGGCATTCGGACCAATCCGCTATACGGACCGTATTCCCGCTTGGACCGCAATTGCAACCTTAGGACTTGCAGTAGTGCGCTTCCGCCGTACGCAAATGTGAGGAAGGCCAGATCTATAGAAGCCAGCGAATCTTTGTGCTGACTGCAACCTACAGTGCTCCAACGTTGATATTTTTATGTTGTCTCTTTTGGCTGAACGTGCCATTGCATGTGCGTGTTTGTGTTTTTACAAATGCCATAAATATTTGTTACCAGGAGAAGACTTCATTCATTTCAAATCTGACATGATGGAAATGAATAAAAATAAAACTTGGGAGATTGTATGGGCTACGGAAAGGATCTAAAGGAATCCAACATCCCCAGAACAGGAAAATAATTCGACCCGAATGCAAAAACCTAATTTAGGGGAGATTAAGAGGCCTTTAAGCTTGAGTTCTTTCCCCCCCCCCCCCCCCCATAGGAGTTCATGTTTTCCTAAAGGACCGCTAAGCAAAGAAGCTTTCAGCATTCAGGCCTTAAGAAAAAAAAACTGGGCGGTGGGAGTCAGGTAGTGAGAAGGGACTGGAGAGTAACAGGGAAGGAGAGGGGAGGGGATTCGAATACGCTCAAGGGCAAGGCTTCTGCCACCAAGACAGTCTGTAGCCGTCCACTGCCTTCACTTGGATGTGTTTTTCTCGTCTGCTTTTCCCCTGTCCGCGCATCTCCAACAACTTTCGTGCTCAATTTCGATCAAAGAAGTTGCTCAAGATGTTTCAGACTTAAGAACGGTGAGTTGTCCAGACTGCTCTAGCTTGTATTGCGACAGAAGCTGCCATTCGCGCTGAACTGCTAAGGTCTAGTCTCTGTTTTTGGATTTTATTAGTATCCCCAAAGGTATCCCCCATAGGACCGCTTCCATCGATTCTTTGACATGGGTGTTTCGTGGATCACCCGATGAAGCAGATCCTTTGGAAGTAGTGCTTTCTCTGTTTCCCACTACCCGGAGGGGTACCAATTCAATCAAAAAACTGTGTAAGTCAACCTTAGCTTACCTTAGCTTAGACTTCCGTCATGTGAACGCCCCAGCCAGCACAAACTGCATCTGGTAAATACTGATTTTTCGAGAAAACTTCGTGACTGGTGCAGGGATTAAGAATGAGTCGGGCTGTTGCTCTCAGGTCAGACTCTGGCTTGTACCCGCAGCTCTTGGCCCTAGTACTCTTTTGACAGTTATTTCTTCTCTGGCCAGAGTCTGGACCGGGTCTGGACCGGGTCCGCCCATCCTGGTTCGGAATAAACTACCGTGTCGAAACTCGAAACCAGAGAGAACCTATTTCAAGAGGGGATTCACAAGCCCTCGGTTTCTTCTCCTGTCGAAACTCTAGTAGCTCGCTTAATGTTAAAATGAGTATGTGCCATGCCTTTGCAGGTCTTGGGCGAATAAAAAAATCGAATATGTATATAAAACTATAAAAGTATATAAATTATTTTTTTTTTAAGTAGTTCCGGGGCGACCCGGTCGGCCGACACTACGACCCGAATGAAGGAGCCTCATTAATAAAACGGCCCTTAAGCTAAAAAAATATATTTTTTTCCCCCCCCCCCCCCATAGGAATCCATGCATTCTTAAAGGACTGTTAACGCTTCAGCATTCGAACTTACGTCTATGACCAAGTTGACCAGAACCAGATCCACTCGTCTCTAGCAGCGATATAACGATACATATACGGGTGCCACAGGGATCCTCTTGCAAAAGCAAGAGTCCCTGGAACAAAAGATGGTTCAGTATTTTGCAAATTATATTAGGTGGCCCATAAGTTAGTATACAGTTGTAATGTATTGAAACTATTGTTTATTTTTACACAAATGCAACGAAGGATCTAAGTCTTGAACTAGAGATCTAAAATATCTAATTCTCTTTTCACTTCCGATAAAATGGTTGGTCCTCGTCTATTGAATAATACGGAGGGAAGGACAAGAATTGTATCTGCTGCATTCCGTATTGCAAGTGACGCAGGTGCCACCTTATAGATAAAATCTTTGTTCTTGCATGTCATTCATTACACCAGCCATTTCATTGGATATGAAGAGCGAAACAGATCAATGCAAGCTTGAATCAACTTCAATTTAGCATATAATTTACAGGTACCGTGCCATCCCATGTTTCAGGGATCCCCATGCCAAAGGTTACGTGACGCCCCGTACTCCATGCTGGGAGGCCATTTCTATTAACCGGCAATGTTGGGGGGTGGGGTGGGGTTGGGAGGGGGAGGAGGGAATTCTGCCTTCAGGATGACAGTATCTGGAATAGAGATCACTCACTTCGTAATATTGGAGGCTTGGGGTTTTGTATGTTTACTTTACCAGTTGCTGTCGGCGTTTTATATACGTCGCCTTTTTATGGTTTGCAGTTTGTTTTTTTGGAGAAAATTACGCGAACTACTATTTTCGTTAGAAAATATATTATAATGCTTCATATTCTAACGGGGAACAAGGAGAGATGTGAAAATGGGAAACAAGTCACTGGAGACCTTTACTCCAGGTCTCATCAAGACGTTTTCTAAATGTGTAAGTGTTTTTTAATTAACAATGTTTGAGGGTCTTCAATCTCTCTCTGAGATGCGCAATTTTTATACATTCGTCTAAGGCAGTCTGCTCACCTCAAGGCACATATTGGCAAAACGTAATTCGGTTTAGGGATCTCCTCGTGTGTCGCTAGTTGACATAGTTCTAAATATCTCTTCCCGTCATATTTTGTCTCACAATCTCTCAATCTTTACTCTCTCACTGGTTACGTTATGGAAAATGACATGGAAAGCTGTTGCCTTGAATCCTCATTCCCTTAGAATATGCAAATCGTGAAATGCATCCGAAACTTATGATTCTCAAGGTGAATCGTGAGTCAATCGAAGTGAATAGGGAGTCGAATCGAATTCATTCCCGAATCGAATCTTCTCTCCAAGCTGTTACTCCCTTAAGATCCTGAAAAATTCTCGACATTTGGTTGACCTCGCTTATCTCACTCCTCGCATCCCACATCGTCAGGGTAGTAGTGTACACAAAACGAAATCTCTGTGCACCCAGTGTTCCCAGTGTTCTCCAAAAAGGAAATCCTCATTAGCTGAGCCTTGTCCTCGTCTGAAACGGCATTAAGTAATGGCATTGATTCTGTAAGCACTATCCTACTCCATCCTTCTTGCGGATGGCAGATTAATGCAATTAAGCTAACTCCCCCGCCATTATGAAATCCGAGTAAATCTGATACACAATGTGACAAGCAAATGGATTAAGCTACCTTCGGCTCTTTGATCTTGTCTACACAATGATCCTTTCTCTACTGTGAACTATTCGCTTTGGAGCAGAACCAATTCCTTTCGGTTTTCGTTGAGAATGTGAACCGAGATGAAAAGACCACCGAGGCAGGAAGGATGACTGTCTCTTGGTCCCCCAGTTCCTCTATGTAATAGGCTTTTAGTCAGTTCCCCAAGCGCTGACACATAAATATTTACGTCTATGGATGCTTCATAACAAGATACCATTTCTCTTGGTCGAAAGAAATATTGATTGAGGAGCAGATGTTGCTCAAGTATGAACTTTGAATAAAACTGCTTCGCCGAACTAGGCATCATTACTTCTCATAAAATTTTAGTTTCTCTCTCTCGATAAGGACGACAATACTCTCCACGAAGAGTATCACAGATAGGGCACAGCGATGGATCATGGTAGAGTTAGCCCAACATAGCTAAGAACGGTATCAATGTAGGATGCGAATCACGGTTTCTAATCAGTGGTGGTCATATGGATGCATTATTCTGGCGTTAGGCAGTGTTAAACAGTGATTTCCTTGGAAAGTCTTAGCTTCCCAACTTTAACATGATCCATCATTAGTTGGTGATCCATCACTGGGTGTTTAACCCTATTCGTACCGAATTTCCGGGATGTAAGACGGAGTAGAAGGTCTCAAGTAAGGGTTAAATTTTAACTTTAGTGTGTAGATTCGCTTCCATGGCGTACTAGGAGTTCAATAGGTGTAAGTGAAAGACCGTTTGGTTAATGAATCAATGGCTTTCGACCATTAATATCTCTCATCACTGAAAAACCTAGTCTGCTATTTGAAAGTCGGACCTTTCTTCACTTTGAACGACTGGTGAATTCTGATTCAGAATCTAACGGGTCGATGAAAGCTTAATTATCAAGCATTTTATTGATGAACATATCTTGAATCACTGGAATTATCACGATCACATGGAGTCGAGAAAAAATACGTGCCTCGCCAAGGGGGAAGTCCTTGGGGGTTGCAAAGAACCGTAATCGAGCGACTTGGTTCGGCGGCACGGGAGCAGAAGCAAGTCTTCCGTCTTTCCCTCTGGGAGTAAATCGTCTTCCGCTTCGTCCTCGGGAAATGACTTGGAGAGCTGAAGTCTGTTCCACGGCTGCTCCTCCCCGCTTGCCCAGGCCAAAAATATCACCACGTCGAACAGGTAGAATCCAGCCGCGACTTGGAACACGATCGACCAGTTGTGTAGGGTTTGCTACATTCGTAAAACACACCCGGTGATGAAATACAGCAAATGAGTATGCTCAAAAGTGTCCACTCGTGTCCGCTGACGTCGTGAGTCACATTGGCTAGATCTTGAGGATAATAAAATATTCATGGTTTTGACCCAATGGGTGTACAAGGTCAAGCTTAGGCGCACGAGCAGGGGCTTCCCCCCCCCCCCCAAAAAAAAAAAAAATAAAATAAAATAAAATAAATAAANTACAGCAAATGAGTATGCTCAAAAGTGTCCACTCGTGTCCGCTGACGTCGTGAGTCACATTGGCTAGATCTTGAGGATAATAAAATATTCATGGTTTTGACCCAATGGGTGTACAAGGTCAAGCTTAGGCGCACGAGCAGGGGCTTCCCCCCCCCCCCAAAAAAAAAAAAAAATAAAATAAAATAAAATAAATAAATAAATAAAATAAAATAAAATAAAATAAATAAATAAAATAAAATAAAATAAATAAATAAAATAAAATAAATAAATAAATAAAATATATATAATAATAAAATAAACAGATAATTATAAATTTATTAATAAATGTATAAATAAATATATAAATAAATATATAAATTAGACAAATCCTAAATATGTTTCTCGGTTCCCTTGGCTCAGCCTGATGTGGGTACCCCGAAGACTCACCTTTTCCCCCCTCCCCCGCTTCTCCAAACTTTGTGGGCACCCCTGTTACGTCACAGTGAAATAAATGAGCAGCAGGCAAGCCATTTGGCTGTTACTATAACAAGGAAGATTCTTCCAACCGAAGAGAAATAGCGCCTAAATTGCTGCTGCAGCGACTCAGCTTAGAAGCTTACTTCTCAAGAAAGAGTCCACATCAGCATATGGGAAGTAAAAAGGTTCGCACCTCCGTGGTAGTGTTTCCAGGATAACGCCGAGAAACCTTTTGATGGTTTTGATTCAATTAAATACTGAAAAATACGTCATACGTGCATGATCAGTTTCTGGCTCGACTCGAATTCTTGCATCAATTGAGTCGAGCTCGTCAATATTTTTATTCGACTAGTAGAGATCTATCTAATGGCACCCATGACGTCAGTGGACGTGATTAGGCCCGCTGCCATAAGGTGGTGAAAGCGTGTGCCGCCCAAGGTATTATTCCTTCAACAACAATCTGTCAAAAAATCCTAACTAAAAGAGATAAAAGTTACATTCTTACTTCTAAAATTTGTTCTATTTCCAAGAAGTATATAGAACTGAAATTACGAGGTTGGAAAGCTCCTGATTTTGTAGCCTTAAGAAAATAGACTCTTAGATAATCCAGCAATTTTTCCCCCCAGTTACTTAAGTAAGTTACAACTTGTTTTCCTCAGCATTTCTTGTAATACCTCTCCATTGATGATGGCACCAGAGACGATTGGAGCCAGCATGGACACGAAACTGAAACCCACGTGCGTTACGGCACTCACGATCCCTTTCGAAGAAAAAAGGAGTGCAGTATTGCTTCAGTTTCAAGATTGAATTTCCTGATGGTAACAAAACGATTTTGAAACTTATTATGATACCAGCAAAGTTGGGAGCGAGATCGAGCAAGTTGGCACCGTAACCGGAATAGTTGGCGCCAGTGACACCAACGGCGCCCATGAGGAGAATCACCGTTCCCCGGGGATCACATCCCGCAAAAGACAGCCCGATCATCAACGCGCCAGCTCCCAAGTGGGCTAGACGAAACAGAATATGGTGACGGTACGAGAAAAACATATTCAAAATAAGATTAATAAGATAAGCCCAGTTTAATGTAGAGTGATAGGTCCCATGCAAAAAACTTGTACGAATCACAGATAAATCTCTTGCTGTGCTCTCTGCATAGAGACACTGCTCTAGCTTTAACTTTTCTTCTTCCTCCTGTTTCGCCTCCCGAATGACTGAACCGCTTCACCCGGCCGAAGGCTGACGTTGACAACGAAATCTTATGCTAAATTCTTTTTCTTTCATTTCGGATCCTTTTAATTTCGGCTTGTTTTCATCAATTGAATTTACCAAGGTGGCGACTTTAATGAAAATTATTTTCATGTCCAAGACGAATGTGGCCGGGTGGATTTTACTTGTCCTTGCCGATTTGCTTTCCGAACAATGACTTCTGAATCCCTTAAGATGTGATAAATGAGGTGAACACCTTCCTTTTTTGCCTCTGGTCCCGTCACAATTAGACCGATGCATTCTGAGAGCAAAAAAAAAAAATACTTAAAAGTATCATTGCAGGACAACACGGACCCGACTTGGAATGGTATACCTAGTGTAATCGTAATACCTGATACCCGACTGGGTCTGCAGGAGAAGTTATGTGTTTTGAATTATGTCTCACAGAGGGTGTTCATGATCTTGCGAAGGGTTGTGACGTGAAGGATTCGGCGAACAAGCATCCAATCTGCGAGGTGACTTAAGGCGATACCGAAGCACACTTGGCACAAATATGGCAGTGCCGATAACACCCCATTCTGCAACATCGATGGAACCCATATGTCAGAGTTCAGGGGTTATTTTTAGGTTTCCATGGATGGGTTCTTGAAAGATAACGCTATGATCTTTTGAAGTAACTGCGAGAAAAAGCATTAGTGAAAGCGTTATTTTTGTCATGAACTGAAGGAGTTTGTCCGTAAAAGCGCAACAGATGAAAAAACGCTCATTCTTTTCTCTTTTATGACGTTTTTCAAAATGAAATTTGTCTTATGAAAATTAATCATATGAAAAGAAAATACGTTCATACAGCGGCGATGTCGAAGTGAAGAACATTGTTCATGTAGGTTGGTAAGAGGGAGAGGAGGACAGAGAAGCCCCAGGAATTGCAGAGCATGGCAATGGTCAGGGCCCAGAGTGGTTTCGATTTCATCATCTCTCTCCATGCCACCGACTCTCCCTAAAATATAAACTTCAAAATTTCTGAATACGCCACAAAACCAATTACCTATACCAAGTGACATTCTCAGATTTTGACGAATTTCTGGAGTTTAATTGGCCTACCAAACGCCATATTTGCCTCAGCAAACGTAGCAAAGCCTCCTTAGCCGAGACTGAGAATGTCCATGAACGACTACAATATAGGGCGTAGCAACGAAGGGAGAGGGAAGAGAGAATTGAAGGGCTGAAAGGAGAAGTAGTGTCCCGTAAGTCAACTATACCATTTAAAACAGCAATATTTTCCAAACTGCAACATGCAAGTCGCTGTTGTTGGTATTGATGGAAAGAATGTTCTTTAGAATTTTTTTTTCACAATGACTTGGAATCAGACTCAAACGGAAATAGCTTCATATGCATATTAAAAAAGTGTACTTGTCAAGGGACATTTTTGATACACCCTGTTGAATCCTCTTCAAAATTGCTAAACTTTATGTTTTTCTCTCCTTTTAATTTCAGATACACTTGAGAAACAGAAAAAAAAATTATTTTATTTAATTTGCTTTCACTGTCATGAGAAAAGGCTGACGCTGGAGCAGTGAAGAAAAGTTGCAACCTGGATGGAGGTCTTTGAGAGTCCCATCAGAGTTCAAAGGGAGTTCCGGCGATTTTTTGGTGCTGAGCCTCATGCCAAATGTATTGATACAGATACATTTTGAGGCAATTTCAAAACTCAGAAATATCTCAATTTTTTTACAAAGATAATTCCAAATGACATGCTATCTTTCAGTTAAGGATACTTATTTTTTGCATCAACTGTTTAGTAAATGTAATTTTTTGAAATGGTATAGTGACTTATGGGACATCCTGTACTATCTGCAAAATGTCCGAGAAAGAGGTAGTTGATTTTGTGCACATAGCACCCTTTTCCTTTCGTGGAAGATGGGAGTTTTGGAGTGTATGTAAGGGAGAAACTGATCTATGATATATGTTGATAGAAATATGTTGGTGTTGAACACCAACCTACTTTTACTCACTTCCAAGAAGACGGTCACTATAATATTCACACTTTTCTTAAGCAGCTGAAGAAAAGAATTTTTTTGCAGATAGACCACTTTTCCTTTCAGCTCTTGAGTTAACTTCCTCGCCTTCCATGTGGGGGGCAGAGGAGGTCTTTCTTGCCAGCATGAAGGCCCAAGAAGAAAGAGAATTAAATAGGGCAGTGATAAGTATTGTTTGTGTTCTCTATGGTTCGCGTGTTCAAAACCGCGGAGCGTCGCTTTCGATGGTTTGCGAGACCGATTTTTCGAAACCAAAATTCAACCACTTTTCCCTAAATCACCGTTTAAGATATTTTAAGTCTGTAAAAAGCATTTTGTAGCTGAGACTTTCTTATTTCCATTACATATGATATAACCGGGGGAAAAATCCTTGAAAGCATCACATCTTGAATGCGCATTGAAAAGGGTGCCCTTTTTGGAGCCACCCTGTATACTATGCCTGAAACCACTGAATCTGCACCGCACCAGCGAATGAAACTTTTAGCAGTTGCGAATAGAGATGAATCGTGAGTGCATTCACAAGCGACAGTTTCAGTAACTGAAAGAAGGCACTGGAAAGGTTCTCCGTTCATTAGACCGAGGCTCGCAGGGCTGATCTACGCGTGAGAAGAGCGTTATTGGTTATTTTCTCCACTTTGAAGATACTTGGACTGCAAATGCTAAAAATTGCGATTATCAATAAGGGAAAAATCTGCGGATTGTTTATGAATTCATGGTATTGGAGGATACAAAAGCTCGTCTGCTTCAACACGTTGATCGCCACGGCCATATTGGCCTTGTGATTTTCCTGGACCAAAATACATTTTTACATCCCTTGGAGAAGGTCTACTTGGAGAAGCACGGGGCGCACCGGTGCGCCCCATGGCGCAGGAAAAAAGGGACTTAGTGTGGCGCACCTATTAAATTGCCACTGCTGTTGTTTGCTGGTACAATCGAGGTCTTCGCTTAGTAATCTGGTACAATTGGCTGAAAATCGCTGTTCCAGACCAAGCCTAAATCTTTCTGAGAGGGTGGAGATGGTGTGTGTATGTGTGTATGTGTGTGTGTGTGTGTGTGTGTGTGTGTGTGTGTGTGTGTGTGGAAGGGGGGGGGGGGGGGGGGCCGCGAGGACATGTGTATAAGGATGACCCCCCTCATGTTTCCCAACAAATCGCCCCCTATGAATTTCACAAAGCTTTGCCGAGAGAGGCTCGGTATTCTTCCTGCTGAGCTAAAGTCCATTGGCCGAGATAGGAAGCACTAGGGGATGCTCTTCCAACTGTTTGAGCTGCGCCCCCATGAAGTTGGAAGGAGCCGCCATAAAATTATATTAAATCATTAGTGTTTGCGAGATTATATTAAGCGAAAGTGTTAGGTATTCTGACAGACACCTCAAGTCACCACTGCTGAGAACCAATTTTCAAGCTCAGTTACCATATAGAAAAGGTAGGCTGTTTCCTTCGCTCTTCAAATTGCAAGTTGTGAGAGTTGTATAGGTCCACGGGATTCTCAGTGAGCAAGCATGTAGGCGAAGGCAACGACCTACGTGCTTTGTCTCGAAGCTTCATCCGTTTATCGACAAGAGAGCGTGTGTCGAGTGAAACAGAAACACATAGCATGAAAGTGGGGCTTTAGGTCGTCTTCGTCTGTTTCTCAGTGCTGGCGTTTTTTTTTGCTGGTGGTTCGTTTTAATGACGCAGAAGAGAGAAAGAAATGCAGCCGCTTATATTGCGACGAAAGGCATGTGGTGGTAGACGTACCAAGACGAGAGCAGTGCTGCGAGTAGGACCAATGGCGACCTCGATGTAGGATCGCTCTCTTTTGGAGATTTTCGGGTGAACGGCGGGGCTCTCGTGAACGACGAGGTACCAGCCAATGAACCATAACACTGTCATCCCTCCCGTGAAGTAAAACACCGATTCCCAGTTTAACCATTTGATGATCAGAGCTCCCAGGGGGATCGCCAAAACTGTTCCCATTGCAGATCCTGTATCATAATTATCATCATATCATCATGAGCTAATAGAAAATCAGTTCGAATATATAACATTGGAAGTGTGATATATATATATATATATATATATATATATTAAAAGAATATCCCTTCGAGATAACTTAATCAGGACAACCCAGGTGCTGGGAGCGATAGCCGACAACCACAGACACCTAGGCTTATTATATTATTGTATAATATATATATATATATATATATATATTACAATAATTTAAATGCCAATTTTTGGTTTGAGATTTTGTCTCCTGGTTGCTCAAATTTACTAATCTAATCATCTCATTCTTTGCATACAGTAGAACTGGCCAATTTTCATGATTGACATTTTTTGGAAAGATAGTTCGTTAATGTTGTGGTATGTTTTTCACTTCGTTCTGGTTAAGCATATCGTATATCAATAAAAGAACAATTGATCCATTTATGTAAGTTAGAGTGGATGTCATACCGATGTTAGACCAGGAGTTCATTCGGCTCCTTTCGGTCGGGGGAGCCCACCGAGCCACGATCTGGTAAAATGCTGGCGACACCACTCCCTATCGTCACAATTGCCAATTCTTCAATGTGTCACTCGAGACAGCCTTTCATTCTCGTATACAATTAACAAGGAACAAAAGGGTATCAACGCCCCGAAATACATCTCTTGAAAGTGTCCAATCGGATCTTCAAACCCTTCAATGAAGTACGTATTCTCCGTCGTCCCATGTGGGCTCATCACTGGAGCCCGGCCGATGTCTTAAGAATAAATGCTGTAATCAGCTGTCCTGAATAAATCAAGCTTCAACTAAATGTTAAACGGACGCATAACAAGTGATTGCTAGTGAATTGCAAGCGATTCATTAAAAAAAAAACTATTAATAATTCAATTATTAGGTCGCCAGAATAAATTACTACGCAAGTGCTGAGTAGTCTTGTATCCCATCCACAGTATTAACGCAAACGTCATAAATTGCTATTACTACAAGTGTTAAATAGCAAATTGCCCATGCGAAGTAAAAAACATTTACAATAGTACATAACCGATATCAAAGAACTAATTGATTGCCTTGATGCCCTACTTCAAATGCAAACTGTCGGGAAGAAACAGAACCACGTGGTACTTCTGATCCTGACTTCAGCTATTCGGCTCATAAAGGAAGATCTTCAAGTACAGCAATCAGATATGTTAAATTTTTGTTTTAAACACTGTTAGCGAAGAAATCTAAACTTATTACGCACGATGAAAAATTGTCATCCTTCATGTAACCATGGTTCCCAGTATGATTAACCATGTATTTTTCATGAATTGCCTGTAATCTTCCTTTTAAGAAGGGAAGAGTATTTCGAGATGAATATGGAAATATATATACGGTGGCGGCGCCGGAGAGGACTCGTTGCACGATGAGGGCGATGAAGTGAAGGCGAGCGGCCATCGGTGCAGCAAACTGGAGGATTCCACCGATGAGGATTCCGAATCCCAGCACATTTTTCCCGCCCAGTTTCTCGGCCCATATCCCGGCCGGGAATACAGTCACCACGTAACCCCAATAGAAGGAGCTCAGGATTAGCGTCTGCACGTCCTCGTCCCATGCGAATTCTCCTGCCTAACAGTTAACACAGCTTTCTTCCAAACATTGTATTTTCGCTATCGCATTCTTAAATTATTTTCCTTCGTGTACTTTTGAAAATTATTAGATTCCAGTCAATTTTTTTTTGCTGTCGATTTCATTCAGTGTACTATTTGATCAATAACTATTTATTTCTGTACCCCATGTGCATTTACCCCTAACGCGCTTTTATGACTTGAATAGCATACTGGTTCCCTCGATCTCCTGATTGTCGAAAAGCCTATGACGGGCATCTGTAGACAAAATTTAATGCAAAAATGTGTCATAAACTTGTTTGAAATACCTGAAGCTCTTGCATGTCCTCAGTTGTGAGAGATGAGTTGGAGAATCCGCACTCAGCGGCCTGAGCTTCAAAGGACACGTGGGGTATGGCGGATTGATTGACCATGGACACGATGGCGATGTTGATATTGATCCGGACCGCATAGTCCATCACGAACCCCAAAAACGCCATTAGCACCAGCACGTATCGCTTTGGCACCTCTTCACAATCACAAGATCAGGGTGACTTGATATACATTTAGCAAGTTGTGGGGCCTGTTCCTCGCAATCACAGAAACTTTGCTTTAAATCTATTCTAAATCTAATTTCAACCTGAATTAAGTCTTAATCTCAAAAAAGTCAAATCTCAGTCTAAACTGTGTATGCACAACATACTTGCTCGCTTTCTCTGCGGACAACTTTATCTTTAAGATTTAGATTTAGCGTAAGCGAGAAACAGGCTACTAGATTCTTTGATTTTTTTCAATTGCTTACCCCATGATTTGTCTTTGTCTTGGAGCTGTTCTTGGTCTGGTGCCATGTTTCATTATCTGCAGATCATTATTTTACAATTTTCAACTGCAAACCGTCATTCTACAATTGTCAACAGTCCGTCATCCAATATAAGCCTGTTCGAAGATTCCGGTCTCCCTTGTACCGATGCAAGTGGACGTGCCGAGCTGTAAGAAATTATGCGAATAACTCTTGTACGATCGGAGATACGAAGCAAAAGCACCATAAGTTCAGTCTAGGCATAGTATAGGTAGACACAGATATTCGTAAATTCATGAAAGCCATATGACATCGTGAGCGGAGTCCAGTCATAATTTGATCCCATGAAATATTCAAGTTGTGAATCATGCCAATACATCTCACTGTACTGTAAGTCGCAATCATATGACGGGCACAACGGCGACGTATGTTCACCGAATTCGCGCTTCGCGTTGGACCAAGGTGAACGCACAACAAAAGTCGAATCGGTTACAGGACCAGGGTGCACAAAAACATCACAGGGGGTCATTGCAAAACCAAGTGGGAGGAACACTGGCGCAAGATGACGCATTCCTCACTCTGACTCCACGAGCGACTTGATTCGTCAAACGTAACTGAGCGAGACATTCATGTTGGCACTGTCGCAGATGGAGAGTTAATATTAATACACGCCCCAGGCTGTTCAGGGATGTGACTGAGTGAGGAATGAGAGTGCGGAGGAAGGGAGAGGGAGAGAATATAACACAGGCAATGCCAAGGTCGCTCAGTTCTCGTTGACTCCACAGTCCCACTCCATCCACCAGCGACAAAGGCAAACTATTGCAGGTAGATAACATGTCGGTTATGTAATAGAGATAAAACAATGTTATGAACTCTGAATGGAGGGGTCCAACACTCTTGAATGATCATCTCAGGCAGAGGCTGCTGCTAGGACTTCAAAAAAGAAGTGACAAGCTAAAAAAAAATGCTTTCAGGCTTTTTTCCCTCAAGTTCTGCATTGAAATTCTCTTGTGAAGCGTTTTCTTGCATTTTGTTTCCAGAAATGCCTCATATCCCAGCCAAGTACGTATTTTACAATCTGGTGAAAACACGAAATACAACGCTTCTCTTCGTGTCCATTACTTACGAATTGAGGTTGTGCAGTCGGAAGTAACGAAGACTTGGGGTGGTCTTGGTAATAGAGAGCCGGAGTTCCAGGATATTTACACTGTAGACTAGATTATGGACGGAATTTCATGCTTGTTTTGTATAGATATTCGTTCAATGGAGGGAGAGTGTATTATTGTTTGCCAAGCAGTGCTATCTCAAAAAAAATTGCTGGGGAAACCTGAATTATACATGCAATCCATTATCCCGTGAAAACGTGGACTGTGACAAGGCTCCCCCATCACTTTGCTTCGGAATATTCCTCTTGAAGATAGCCATGATGTACCGGGGTACCCATTAAGGGAGTAGAGGGGACCATGGACCCTCCATCCCGAGGAAGTGGCTGGGGTTAACGTTGTAGAGAGACATGGAGAAGAAGAGATACACCGCCACACAAGCATGCAAATGGGCTCTGAGTTGCATGAGAAGATTTATAAGGCGTAGAACAGCGTTCAGCAACAGGCAGCCCGCGGAAGCCTTTCCTCTGACCCGCGCAGACCCGGCTATCACAAGGCATAATAAAATTTAATGACTCTTGATAGGTGTTGGCACGCAAACGTGCAGCATTCTGCCATCTGGCCCCCCGTGAAATTCAGTTACTGACCACTGGCGAAGAATATAAGGTCACAATTGCGCGTTCTAGGCTAAGAATCGCAGGGAAATATGGTCGACGTTTCATCTGTAACAGCCAAGTAATTTCAGGGAGGCCTGAATGGTCTCAGCAGGGCAATCAATAAGCAGGAATGCTATTATTTGTTACCTTAGTTCCTTAGGAAAACCATGAACCAGTAGTAACATTAACTATGGAAGGTCACCGCAGCCGTAGCCTGAGGACTATCCTTCCCACCTTCCCGAAAATAGAGAAATTGGATTTCTCTGTTTTTATTTAAACCCAGTTTATTCTTTTCTCCTGGATGGAGAAAATAATAAACTGGGTATAAATAGAACTAGAATGGACATGAATGGCCTTGCCTGATCCCCCCCCTCCCCCCCTAAGAAGTGCTTCCTGGGAAGACCCCGCCTGCTAACCCCCCCAGCCCAACCCCACATAAGTACCCCACATACTCAGCTGATCCTCCCTTCTCCGAACTCTGTAGGTGCCCTGACGATGGACTTAAGACGCTAGTCACCTGTGAATCGTATCAATAACCTACTGGCTCCCAACAGAGAGAAACACCAGGAAAGAATCAAAACTTAATTAATGCCGATCATTGTGCCGAGGGAGTTAAAAGCTAGGCAAACACCCATAGCCCGTGCAAAGAGTCTGTTGGGGATTGCATTCCGTTCCTTTTGCGACGTAAAAACGAACCCCCGAACGACATACAGCAAGAAATTGGAGAGCGACAAAGACCGTCTCTCAGGAGGCAGCATGCGAGGTTCATGCATTGCCATTCGTTCTCTGTCTTGTGTCTGGCGTTCATCATGCAATGGTTCAACACCCTTCATCTTACCTCCCACGTGTACCAATAGATGTCTCTAGTAAATATGGACATTGCTGCTGAAATACCAAGCATAACGAGATCGACTCAATTTGCACGCGACATGTATGCCTCATTATGCTTGCAAACTATTTCTTTGCTTGGGTACACGTCACGTTGGATCAGCGATCTGCGATGTAAGATGTCAGTCTCTTCCGAATTGCGTCTTGGAAGTTAAAGTCTATTCGGCAGCAAAAGACACACTTGGTTGAGGACAAAAGATGGATGGGGCGGTGAGAGGCAAGGAGTCAAAGAGATATGTGTTTATTTGGCCTCTGGCAGGTCATTGGGGGGCTAAAGGTTTATAACACGCTTATTGTTGTCAGATGACAGCACCTTTCAGTCGGGTGAGACAGATCTATTGGGATCTCGCTTCACCCGATTGAACGGAAGAAAGTCGGCAACTCAGATTTTCAAGGAAAATCCATCCATTCACCTGGGAAGCGTGACATCTCGATAAGTAACGACCTGAATACCAGGAAAGCCATTTCCCAGGAAAGGCTGCAGTCGAAACAAAGCTCAAGTCTCAGGTGAGGAGCATAAATGATATTGAATGACCGAGGCTCCCCCTTGACCTGTCACATCGGAGCCGCAGGTGTGTCTTTTGAGGCCGAATAGACTATAACATCAACGGTTAAAAGAGAGATGCAATATAACTGCATTCTATCACATTGCATCAATCATTCTCATGAATGCCATCATATGGTAGAGGCTAAACCTCTTTCAAGCTGTGTGCGCCTCGAAAGTCGTTTGTTTCAAAGCTAGGGTATTGTCCACGCCTGTCGATTACGGCTACTATTCCCGATGATTATTTACCTGTAACGGAGTAAAATATAAATACTTATTCTATACTCTATGCCTATACCTCACTGAGAGGGAGAGGGCAGCAAAAACTCCGGCATCGAACCCATCTGAGACGCATTTATTTGCCTTTTCAATTGCTATCGAAAGAGAAGGGGGGCCTCATCCTGCCTTTGGGTTGCCTTCCGATTGAATCTTGCGAGTAGGAATCAATATTCAGGCAAGTAATTTCTTACTCGCCTGAGCTGAGAAATCTTTCCCTTTTTTAGCTTGTGCTGTTTAGACGTGTATACACTAGGCGAGTGACCTTAGCAAGTACCCATCGGGGTCTTTCGGGGTCTTAAGGGATTCGAAGTCAGGTAGAGGAGGTTCGTGATGGACGAATGAGATGCTTTTATTATGCCTGTTCTCTTCAAGAATGACAGAAAATGCGATAAGACGAAGTTGAAGTTAGTTATCGTAGGTGGAAGTGAACCTGGACTTGAGATGCTCCCAAGCATTGAGAGGGATCCATTGCCGGGAGGAATTGGCTGCGGTGACAACGGGTTCCACGGTGACATCATTGTCAGGATGGAAGAAGAAGGCTATGCTCTGTCGGAACCTCTTTCCCCTCTCACTGTCTTCCTTTCTTCTTTGCCCCAGAATCACTCGGTGTGGCTGCATCCCCAAAACAAGCAGCAAATCCGATTCCTTCATCAGTGCCCTCTTTCTTTTTTTGCTTTCAATGGAAGCTAATTTAGCACTCAGCGTTCAACTAGAGAATTAGTACCTTGACTACGAGGAGGTGTCCTGGAACTATGCAGGCCACCTGCTTCAGCCGTTCAGATTTCTTTCTATTCTCGCTTTAAGAGCTTCCCATGTTTTCAAATGTAGCTTGGCCTGCTGAAGCCGTTTTATTTATGTATTTCTCATAATGGAAAGGGAATGTCTCGTGAATGTCCCATAGAGAGAAGGAAAAAGAGAGAAAATTCCTGCACCTCTCTCAATGGCCAAATATCGCATGCGGTAGGGTAAAAATGTTCTGTGCGTCGTGCCATCTTTGCGTCGGTCTATTGAGTCCATTGATGTATTTTAAAAGTATTTCATAGTAAATTAATAACGGCACAATGATTAAAATCGGAAATGAGCCTGTATACAGGATCTAAAGTCAGGAATCAGGATTATAAATTATAGTTTCCTGAATTTTTATTATAGATTATTTCATACAGGGTGGGCCAAAAAAATATTCCGTTATCTTTAACGCTTCACAGCGTCGTTTCTCGAGAAATAAAAATTTTGTCATAGTTTCTATATGAAACATTGATTTAGCTTTCCACTGATGTCAAAAGATTTCATATTTCATTTGTCATTCCGATGCAGTTACGCACAATGTAACAGCGGTAACGCTTGAAAAATGCACTTACCAGTATAAGATGACATGTGCTCCTGATGACGTCCATTCTTTCGCTTATGGCGAGTAGGCGAAGTCTTTCATGCACTGGCTGAAATCGCAGTAAGGCACCAATTTTTCCAGCGCCACCTCCCATACTCTTTATTTAACTGCATGGTAGTTAGGCCACAAACCTTTATTTTGTTGACATCATTCGAAAGCTAAATGAATGTTCTACATGGAGGTATTATTACATTTTTAGCAAACTCTTGGGACCAGTGCTATAGAGTGATAAAGATAACCGAAGTTTTCTTTTGGCCCACCCTGTAGCTAGGACTGTTTGGAACCCACACCCCACCCACCTGATATGGGAATTTAATGCCAAAGTCACTCACAAAATCTGGTCAAAGTCACCCAAAGAGATCAAAATTGGCTGAGAGTGATCCAATATGACCTAGACATGCAAAGCAACAAAAAAGAGTAACTCTGGGTGAGTTACTCATTTAGGCCCCAAGGCCCCGAGTTTGACCCTTATACACTGTTTTCGGATTGAATTGATACTCCCCACTAGGAGCGCTTCCATCAAGTACATGCAGAACACCTTGCGGATGGAAAGTGAAGTATTAATAGAACCACCCAATAACCGTGCGGAGCAGCAGGCTTGACATCGGGGAGTTCCTCTGGAAAGCTTGTGTTTTCTCCGTTCACCACAATAGGGGGTACTAATTCAATCCGAAAACAGTGTAAGCCTAATTGCCCCCGTAAGTCGAGGGTTGCGATTCTTTTGAACGAAAAAGGTAGGCCTAGGCCTGACCTGAAGACAGTCCGTGGATTAGGCAAAGGCCTTAAGTTAGTAAGTCCCACAGAGAGAGAGAGTGTGTGTGAAGAGGGGAGAAGTTCTTCATCTCTTTTCCCATAAGGCATAAATGAAGGAGAATATTGCATTGGAAAAATGAAAGAATTATTCATGATTATGATATATTATTCATACCACTCTCATGATACTCATGTATGTGATGAAAATGCAAATCTGGAGAGAGACTGAATTGGACTATTGGAACAGATCTTCTTTCGTATGGATGTTGGAACAGATGCCAGCATGGGTTCTCCATGCATACAGATGCTTTCAAATCAGCTCAGGTGTGAAAAGAAATGCCAATTGTTCACATTTGAATGATATCTTTAAATTAATATTCAAATTTATGTACAGACTTTTCGTTTTAAAATACATTTTCAGAACATGTCACATCCGACACTCTCCTGTCACACCTGACACGGTCACAAAATAGGCTTACTTTCTTTTCTAAGTGTTGTAATCTTGGGGTGATTTATACTAATTCCAGGTCTTCATTTAATCTATAGAATGAACATGAAACTAAATTATTAGGGTCCGCACGATTTCAGATATGTGAACATTAGAGCAAGTGACATTAACTTGAGGTTTTACGAAATGTCACGTCTGACACTTTTCTTTGGACATAGGTACACCTCTAACAGAAGAGAGAGTGCAAGACTTTGGATTATGGAATTTTCAACCACTATGTGAAGCAAATTGATATGCTTTATATGCTGATTCGTCATATAGTTAAATACATCTTGTATACTAAACATACTGTATTACTCTGGATGTCACGTCCGACACGGTGGACAGACCCATAACTGAACCTTATCTCGCTGAAATATAACTGTGACTTTGAATCACCATCGTCCTCATTAGAATGGAATTCGAATAGAATTAACTCAAAATTATATGAATGGTACATGCCCATCCTATCTACAAGCTGGCATTCCTGATATAGAAATCCCAAGTGGAAGTTCATGCTCTCTCAAGCATTGCTGCCTCAAAACATTTGAATTCCTTCCAGCATGCTCGAAATTGAAACGAATGATAAAAGATGGAGCTCACCGTGGCTCGGTATAGTCCAGCAGTCCAGAGTTCCAAGAGGTCACCAACATTAATGAGGATGGCCTCGGGGACAGGTCTCGCTTCTACCCATTCTCCCGCCTTCGTCTGAACCTGTCAGGGTGGATGGTCACGAATTGAGTGAAAATGAAAGAAAAGGAAAATAAAGCACTGCTTCCAGTGATCGTGGCCTACAGCGAAACTGAAATGATACAGGCACTTTAAAAAGTAGTTGAAATAGCACAGAATGACATTGATATTCTTCATTTCTATTTCTTTTGTTTATTACTTTCGGTGCTCCTGGAATCAAGTGTTGATTATCATAATGGCATTTTTATTTGCACATCATGCTTACATCGCAACATCATCTCTAAGCTTATATCATACCTCGAGCCCCCCAACGTCGTCTTGAAAGAGGAGGGTCAGGGAACCATAGTCAGAATGTGATGCACATCGTATCACGTAGTCCTCCTCGGGTACTGAGACAGGGGGATAGAAGAGAGTACGAAGAGCTGTCCCATTCCATTCCGTCCCCACGTTCCTGTGCTTCCCAGACAGAAATCCCTCCTCCAATCCCAGCCCGATTCCTAGGTAGTCGAGGAGTCGATGGCCCAGCGTCCGACATTCTCGGTAAAGCTCCTCAAAGACGAGTCGAAATTTCGGGACGTGTTGATCCGGGAAAAGGGCCGAAGGAGAGAAGTCCCTCATATCATAGGTCTCTCTTATCTCTTCCCGCTTCGACTCGTCCAGGCTATGGCCACAGCAGACATTCAAATCGGATAGGTGAAGGCCAACGAGGGGTCTTCAACAAGTCACTGCCCTGAGGTACTTCAGATTGGCCTAGGTCCAATTACTTTAAACACCTCCCGTACTATTTGCTGACCCTGGGGTCCATTGCCCTCAACAAGTTAGAGTTGGCTACTTGGTGCAGAGTTCGGCCACTCAAAAGTCTAAGCTTGCTACTAACCCTCTGGGGACCGGTGGGATGATAACGTCACCCTAGTGACAAGTTCCTCCTTTTTTTCCAAATTTTGACAACGTTAGGTTCGGAAGGAGTCGATTTCTCAGCAGATCTTTAGGTGGCTGAGAGGATACTGTATTATTGACCCTACTCTGCAAGATCCATTAGGAAAATGATTCCTTCAAGGTTAGAAAATTAATGACAGCATTCGTTTCAGTTTTCATATCCCTTCAGCATACCCCTTGGTAGTACATTGAAAAAATTTCATAGAAGCTTTCTATCATAGACAAGTGATTTGAAAATTTTTCATTCATCATCAAAGACATCTGTCTTTCTATGAAAAAAAATATATATAACTGTGTATTACAACTGGAAGTGCCTTACGCCGAAAACTCTCTGAACGCCCCTCGTATGAAATCTACATGGATAAAATATTGCCTTATGATGTCATTATATATTATTTATCCCTAACCTCTTGAATGTTTCATTTTAATACATGTCTATTTCATAGAGGAATATATATGAAAATTTCATGAGGGTTTCTCATACAAGTGTATCCGAACAATATTCTCGAAACTATGGCAATGTTCTGACACTTTCTGTATTAGCCATGACTGAAGACTTCTTTTCCGATCTGACCCGGAAAATAATTTTCACGTTCTGGCCAATATTTTAAATCGCATATCTCAAGAACAGTTTGATCGAAAATTACATTTTGGATTTTTATCATTATCCCCAATACTTGATGGCAAGACTTTTTGATAGAAAATCCATAACATCAGCAAATTCGGCACCCAACGGGTTAAGTTTGGCATTTAGAACCTCATTCTCAATTGAAGATAAAGAGTGTTTGGCCCCTTTCGATAATTAGATCAGCAGGTTTTTCTCCTTGATATTTAATGTTTGACTACTTTTTAGCAGCTAACTATTTCGCTATTGAAATCATAAGCCCTCTGACAACACTTATCTGCGGGACCATATGGCATTTAGGAATCGGTTGGGTGAAATAATACAGTGTGCTGTACCTCTCCCGGCTGGGGGTGACGTAGCCTTGAGACACAAACACGTCGGGTTTGGAAACGCCACACTTCACAGTCGATGGCAAGAGAAAAAACCTCCTCGATACCTCCAGTGCCTCATTCACCTAAGAGGGTGATTCAATAAGTAAAGACTGTTTCATCAAAACTATAGGTACTTGCAGAGTTATTCCTATCGCATTCACATCAGCAGCAGCCGCGTTTGACTAGAACGCTCCACTTTTCCATCGACATGGTGGCGTGACGGTCCAGGAGGAAAAAAAAAATGGGCGAGGGTATTTCCACCTGTTTTAACTATTTACGTCTTCCTGCGATTTTGAAGCCTGTCATTTATATCTATATTTGTTGCTATTCATGATGACAAATCCAGAAGATGTATGAAGAGCATGAGGGCTTCGATTGAGGGAAAGTGAAAGAGAGAGAAGGAGGGCCATGCGTAGCTCTGCCTCGAAAGAGGCTCAAGATTCCAGGCAATTTTCCCCTTCTAAGGAGGGGATACCCCACCGCTAAGTTTTTCGTCGAAAGGGATACTAACGGACGGCACGAAGGCCAACAGAATGAAGATCGTTATGAACTGCTGAACAGATTCGAACAGAGCGGTGACACCTTCTTTGCGCAGATAGGGACTGGAGGCGAAGCATAGGTTCTTCCTAACGAACGCGAGAGCAGACGCCAGAGCAGTGAATGGAAGCACCCCAGCTTTCCAGTTCGCAAATAATTCTAAGAGCTGACCTCAGCTGGGAAGGTAATTACTGCATATTGGAAAATGTAGTGTCTCGATACTATGAAGTATAGAGAAAAAGGACAAACCGTAACTGGTGCAACGTACTGTGCTATTTCGGAAAGACACCTGAAAACAAACATTCTCCAAAAACGGCGTGAAATGCATCCCAAAGGCATTCTTTTAGGATGCCACGATGCGCATCCTCATACGGCTGGAGCGACGGAACACAATACGGGAAAACTGGGCTATGAACCGATACTTCCCTGAGTCCTGACCTCTCACCATATTTGAACCTCTTTATCTTTCCATCCTCTCTATCTTATATTTCACCTCTTTGAACCACTAAAGGAGGCGTTACATGAAGAAAGGGTCCGATGTGACGACGTGAGGAGGCGGTGCGTACCTGGTTTGCACAGTAATTTAATGGCTTCTTCGCAGCAGGAATGCGCCAGCCCGCGGGACGTTGGAATTGGGGTAATATACCCAATGATGGGCCTGTTAAGGGCGTGTACTCGGTGATGGGCCAAGGCGCAGGAAAATTCCAAAAACTAGGCATTTGTAGCATGAAAACCTCTGAAGTGTGTATATGCTAACATGTTTCTAGCCTATGTCGCTACATGAGTATGCGTGCTATGGAAGCTTAGCTGTTGGAAATTCTATGGGCTGTGGCCCATCACTGGGTATTTTACCCTAGTACATCAGCGTGCAGGGAATTATGGTAGAAAAATTACTTGTCACCCATTCCCAAGCAACGTTCATGAACGTCGGTTGAACTAAGACGGTCTTTACCTATTGAATCGCCCTCGTACTTTTTTTTTCGCTTTCTCTCCTTGATCCAGCCTTATATGTCGAACAATAAATGTTTCATCAGGGACGTCATTTCAAGGATCGATCAATGATAGTTGAAATGACTGCGGCTGTGTTCTTTGTTAGACGTTAGATACAGATAGAGTTCTCTTTTTCTCGAAGCTACTTGTCATGTATCAAGTCGGGAGTGGACACTTCATGCATTCATGGATCGATTCTGGTCAATGAATGCCTCAAGTGTCTTCTGTGTTTACGTGTTCCGAATGCCCTAGACCAGCCATTCCCTACGGCTACGACCCCAACCCGTTAGTCCAGGCCCCAGCGAGAGAGTAAGGAAAGGTAGATACCGCTCAGCGCCAGGAGCAGAATAACCTTGGATGCCGGTGGGGGAACGGTGGAAGGCTCGCTTCTCATGCAAGCCAAGCTGGAAGAAATCCCCGGACACATGCAAACATTCCTCCACCTGCCCCAGTACGTCATAGGAGGGATACGGGAAAATAATAGTGACCATTAGGAGAATATGTCTATTACGCGGACTATTGCTCGATGCACATCTACAGTAGAACCCCGATCATCTGCGCTAATGGAGGGGAGTCGATCGCATCTCGTAGCATTGAATTCAATGATGCACATTACGGCAGAGTATGTTCTCACAATAGTTATTTAGAAAGGCTACAAGCAGCATTCGCTCTTCGTTTTGCTGCGAAGAGGAAATTCGCAGATCAGTAAATCTGCACACTGATAATCGGGGTTTAGCTGGATGTCTGAAAAAGGAAATGGTTCAATCCATACAAGAGAGTGAGGGATGCCGTGATTGAGGAGGTAGAGGAAGCCGACATCCTGTAGTTTCTTGTGCATTTCCCTCGCAATCCTCTTCCTTCTTTCCTCCTCCTTCTCTCCAGGACCAGGTTCTGCGTATACGTACACATGACCAGGGTTGCAACTTGCAAGGATGGCGAAAGGAGGGAGGCATGACATCGGGATGGCATACGATGGAATTGTAGATCCACGACGGGGATGGAGAAAGGGGAAGCCATGGATGCGCAGCCCCAGTACTATTGAAATGCGAGTGCACGGAAAGGGAGGGTAGAAAAGTAACTTCTAAACTGTTACTGACTCACTGCGTGTTTGTGACTGACTTGTTTTCATCAGAAACCAGTTCCAGTTTGGCTAGACACGGGCCCACGCTCTCTTTATCTTTCCATCCTCTCTTTCCCCTACGGCTATGTCTCTCTCGGAAGAGGGAAGGGGAGATTTCAGCTTTCAAACCTGTGAGAAGCTGCTTCTGATTCGCATTCAGAATTTTTTTTTCTGCATACACTAATTACCGTCAGAGCGGCCCTCTTCTAATCAACTTTCCAAGCATGCTTGATGTTCTCAATCCTCATGATTTTTACCTCTGGATTCGTGTTCCTCATGACCTGACTGCTCGAGCATTTAAAATTTTCCTTTAAAAAATCCTCCGGAGACCTGAATACCGCTTTTTTTTTAACAGGGAAACAATTAAAATAACTGTTATCGCGACGTGCATTTTTTTAATTTAATAAGTGTTTGACTTCATCTTTTGTTCACTTCCTTCAGAACATACCAGGGACACATCAGGAATTCTTTTGGGAAGAGCTTCGCTTGGGCAACCGATTTCACCAGAGCAGCCTCTATGTGTTGAAAATGTTAATTACGAATAGTAGCCATTTCATTGCTGTTGATTCTTCATTGGTTTGTCACCTTCAACATGCCTCAACATTTCATCTTATTGGCATCGGCTAATAAGGCTATAGCCTTAGGCCCTCATAATTTTAGGCCCTCCATTCAATATTTTTTTACAATATGCATAATTAGGCCCTTCCCCCATTAGCCTTAGGCCTCTCATAACCTTAATCCGGTCCTGCTGGCAATGTTTAAATAAAGTTATTGTGCTGACTGGATAAGGTGCGAATAAATGCAAATAAAACCGATGTGGTGCATGTCATCCAGTTTCTATCCACGAACGCAAAATCGAAGCAGCAACGCAAGGGCAAAGGCATCATTATTCCACTTTAAATTCATGTTCAAATGCCTTCCATGCTTTTTAGTTGTGGTTGGATTCCCATTAAAGAAATCAAACTTTTCTGTTCGGTAATGGGAAACTCAAATTTCTCCACCAAATGGCATTTTCGCTAGAGACTATTATTTGTCGCCTTAGGTTGAGAATCTGCGAAAATGTAAAAAGTCCTTTTTATTAATTCTTTCCGTGTTATAGACGGCGATCGCCGTCGTGCGTTTTTCAGACCTGGGATATTTTGTACATAGTTGGAAGCGGTAAGTGGAAAAAAAAAACCTTCTAGTATATTTACTAGGGCCGGAGATATAAGCATCCCAAGCAGCATGTTCACGTAAACAAGATATCAATTTTTTGCAAACAATGTAAATTTCTTGCGATTGCCATGAAAATGACATCACGTTTACATAAAATTTACGTTCCTATATTTACGTCACCAAAGTGTACGTGTATTTTACATCAACTACACGTCACTCCATCTGACGTGAAGTACATGATATCAAGTTTATGAAAAATTAACACCACACCATCCATATGAAACTTTAACTGACCATCCTGCAGTTGCAGTACCAAGATTCCTCACTAGTTAAAACCCTTGTTCCCTGCATCCTACAATTACCATTAAGTACTGGTTTTCTTACCATCCTTCTACTTTTTATTATGCAATCCATGAATATATATATGGAAAACATGACATTATTATATATTTTAAATAATAAATGACTCAAGGAATCATTAAATGCTGAAGTTAAGCTTTTTATTACAGCAGTGCACGGGATTAGGGAAGAGTAGAATGCCAGCCCCTCATGTACTACATCTTCTCTATCCCGTATAAGTATGAATCCCTCCAAATCCTCCCTCCTCTTGTTTGCACGCGACAGGAAACCTCACTCCGTAAACGTCCGTTTGGACGGTGTGTTCATCCCACGCTCGCGGTTCACCCGTTTTCTTGGTGTTAATTTTGACAGTAATCTTAGATGGAACGAACACGTTAACGTAATCCGCACCAAGTCGATCAGAAAGCTTAACTGCTTGAAGATTTTGGCCGGGGTTAACAAATGTGAGCCTCACGTAATTTTGAAGTTATATGTAACGTACCTCCGCCCGGTCTTAACGTACGCGTTCGCTGACTGCCCAGAGACAGTCCTCGACCAACTAGAACGCATCGAACGAGCTGCTATAAGATACGCCTTCCGCCTTCCCACTCATTTTTCTAACTCATATATATACAGAATCAGTGGACTCACCCCTCTCTCTCGGCACGCCTCTCNATTTCTGCAAACATGTTGACATTTTCTTGGCAATGGTTTGCGTAAAAAGGATATAAAATGGACAAAAAATTTACATTAATTTTACGTAAAATTAACATAAACATGCTGTTTGGGATTTTACCGAGCGCGTATGCAACATCCGCCGCGTAGGAAATAGCTCTGGCAGAAGCGAACTCGCGCGCTACAAAAAATTTTACCACGGGAAGGGTTAAGGTTAAATATGTGACGGAGCCTATACAACCAGAAAGATTTTGTGACAGTACATAAATTTCTTCAATAATTTGGAGTCAAAGGCCCCCCCCCCCCTACTTATGGGCACCCATCCTTTTATGAGATTTAAGTCACATGACCTGTAAAAGCATTTTTAGCCCATGAATGGACTCCTGATAAGACATCCATGCATGGCCAGTGGCGCAACCAGCTCTAAAGTTTTTGAGAGGGGGGGATTCGAATTTCTTATGACCCGTCTTTCAAATGTCTCCGAATGCAAGAAGGCGTTATCAAATCGTCAGAAGAGATACTTAACAAAAGCGCAAACACACAAACAACGGAAATGAAATGAAAAAAGATGTTATGAAATGGTGGAAACGGAATTTAAACTCTAAATGAAAGCATATTCGATACCTGAAAAAAAAAGAACTAAATTAACTTCGGGATTCAGCCCACTGCGCTGATATGCAACTGGAAATTCGTTAACTTGTACGTAATTCACGTCTTTTGTCCGGATCGTCGAACTTCCGTTTCCAGAAAAAAAAAATTAAGTAGCGTCACATGTGCTAAGATGCGCAGGACGCTTCCTTGACAGGTTCACTTTATTGACCTTTATGTGACTTTCACCTTTCACCTCCTATCTTTGCACCTTTCTAGCCTCGCTCTCAGGTCGTTTGCTCATGATATTCTTCTGTGCCCCCCATCCTCGGGGGAGAGGGGGATATATGTTTCTATACAATTCCGCGAATGGAGATGGGAGGTCACCAGGAGTTAAAGAAACTCAGGATAGGTAAATATATTGCAAACGAAATCCTTTGGTTCAATTTATAGTGATTGGGGCTTAAGGCGAATCGGCATGTTACACGATTGGAGCATAATTTGCAGAAAAATCAGCCCAAGGGAAGCAGAACCGTGGAGTTATGTATTGGGGATATTTGCAGTGTTTTTCACTTGAGTTATACAATTTTTCACTTGACTCAGACACACGTGCATGGGACGTTACTCATGCATGGGTGTCGAAGTCAAGTGAAAAAGTGTCTAACTCATGTGAAAAACACTATAAAGCATGATGCATATCATACCCATTAAGCAACACTGCTACTTCCATGTCAGCTCGCATGGATTCCTATGAGCGTTTACTCGCACTGCCGTTTCCTTGTCTCCGTATCTCTCGAATCCCATCGAGATGAACGTTCACAAGCACCCAAAGCGTGGCGAAAGAGACAAAGAAAAGAACAAGGACAGAGAGAAGTCGAAACAGGGAAGGAAGGGATCGGGAGAGAAACGTAGTCGTTGGGAAGGTGAACATTGTACAAATGACGGCCATGAAAGACGTAAGAAGGATGAATCCAGCGAGAAAGAATACAGGAAAAAGCCAAGACGAACTCGCAATGAGTAAGTTCAAGTCCTTATCCAATCGGTTAACCAAATGGAGGCTATCATGGCTGATAGGCCTAACGATAAGACAGCCTGGCGACCGTCCTTGGGGAGACATAGGCGTAAGCCGATGATAAAGAGGTCACCCTATACTCATCAGCATTATTATAGACACATTGGAGACTGGGAGAGTGCCATACTTATTGAGCTAAAGTACACCTAGGTAAAATTTAAAATAAAAATAGCAGACTCCTGACATAAAGTAAGAGCTATAAGTTATACATTTTCTTGGTTCAGATGTTGGACATTTCATATTTGGTGTGTCTGTACTTTTTTTTATGTACTGCATTAGATCATCATTGTGATAGAGGACTTGATTGACTTGCTTTCTAGCAAGCTAACTGTTAGCAGTCATTGGTGTGACATTCTTTGAGTTCTCAGTTTTGATAATGCGCTATGGGAATCGCATTACATGCAATATGGCAAGAATGCATTAGGGCCTACGTGTAGCCCCTAGTCTACTGATCTCATTAGATGCAGAAATCTCTTACTTGCCTCTTTGGTCCAATCTGCTGAATATGGGCCATTTTTTCAATTGGCAATGTCTGTTGGCTGAGCTGAGAATTGTGATCTCTAATATCACTCCTAACATGATGAAGCTTCTGGCTGCCTACCAAACAGGCATATCTTTCAAGGTAGAGGAAAGTGCTTCCTTTGCCTAGTGGGAAGATTTTGAGCTCTCTTTTGTGACCTATCAGCACAAAACTAGATAGTTTTTCATTATTGAAGGGTATCATGGTATTTAAAAGACCATACCTCAATGAGATACCGCTCCTTAATATCCTGGGTTGTGCCATGCATTTCTTTGAGCATCTTCAACTTCAAAGTGGTCCACAAAGACTTGATCAGCTGGGTATGTGCTCTGCTACCTGGATCCATGAAGTTCTCTGAGTGGTTCAGTTTCATGAATGTAAGCAAACGCAGGAAGCCTTCCTGCTTTCCTCTTCTTTTGCATGTGGAGCCTGTTCTCTCCTCCACATCTTGAATGCAAGCGGGTGGTGTAGCTTCATTGTCAAGAAGTACATGTTCCCTCAAAAATGCGGCAGCGCTCTCTTCACTCTGGATAATGGAATAAAACTCAGAGAAAAGCATCCTGAGCAATTAACTGTTCTTGGGAAATTTGATGGGTTATACTGAATTCACAGATAAGCGTGGAGAGCAATATGACTTTGAATTATCCGCAAGAATGGACAACTGCTTCAGACATAATCTGCAAGCAAGGATTATGCCAGATTAGGCATACCTGCACCAGGTAGGCCACCGAACTGCAGGTAGCTTATACCTCATATTTGGGGGTGCGTGGAATACTGGCAATATCAGTGCCATGAATTAGTGTGGTAGCTCACACCGCATACGCTGTATAGACCACTGCAGCATGGTAGCTTGCACCTCATACATATGCCAAAACATGTTACATTGTCAGGATAGGAAATAGATGACATGCACTTCAACTAATTCAAGGTGTCTCATACTGAGACATCTTGGTACTCATGCAGCATGACAGTTTCCAGGAATTTTCTTCACTGTCCTTCCTCTTTTAGCTTTCTTCAGCCTTGCCCCTTTTCTGCAGGCTAACTCCCCATAGTCTAGCCAATCTCTGAGGCCAGTTGTGCCAATGATGATCGGAATGATGGTGGTCTTCATTCTGCACAACTGTTCTACTTTCACTTTCAGTTCGAAGTAGTTCTCCAGCTTCTCCTTCTTATAGATCCGGCCTATTACAGCCTATGGTGCGGTCTGTAATTATGGGCATGTCCCAGAGTACCTTGATAGAGGAGTTCTCCACTACAGACTCTGGCTGGTGTTCGTACCACTTCTCTGGGACATCCAGGCCAACTTGCTTGCAGACACACCAGTGCACATATTTGCACACCTGGTCGTGCCTGTGCAAATACTCCCTTGGGGCTAGTTCATGGCAGGCACTAAGGAGGTGGTGAACTGTTTTGGGTGGTCCATGACAGCATCTGCAGCGGTCTTCCACATCCAGCTTCAGAATGTGCTTGTTGTAGTTATGAGTTCTAATGCATTGGTCCTGAATGGCTAGGATGTTGCTCTCTGTCTTGGCATTCAACAGTCCCTTCTTCAGCCAGTTATAGCTGAAGTCCAAGTCGATGGATGGTTTATCCATGAACTTGGGATGCTGGCCGTGAAGCAGTTTCTCCTTCCATTGAGCCTCTCTTTGTACTTGGTCTGCCATCTTCACATTCTTTGTGTTGCAGTCGTCATTGAGATGGAGTGTGTTTCGGAAGCGGGTGGCATCTCCCTGGATGGAGTGGGATTTCTTCAGGGCATCATGCTCTCTTAGGATGGAAATGAGTTGTCCCTGCTTCCTTTTGATGTATCTGGTGACTTTGCATGTTATATATATATATAAGCTGCTATTTACCCTCATTCCTCAGACATTTGACAAGTTTTTTTTACATTGGCTTTGTAAAACTTAATTCAATTCTTCTACATATGATTTATGGTCCACAGTTCATCACAAGCTTGTGTGAGTAAGTATTTTACAATGAGGCTGCTCAAAGTTCAGCAATTTCACTGTCTTATAGGTTTTCCAAAATAAACATTTGCCTCTGCTTTCCAAAAGTGGATCTAAAGATCCTATTCAGGTGGTGACAAATAGGAAGACCATTCCAAAATATGTCCTAGTGTTAATGTAGAACTTAGTTTTCCAGAGAAAAATAGCCATCAGTACTTACTGCACCTTGTAGGTACAGTTTGTTACTTTCCCCAAATAGAAATAATGTGGTAATCCACCACTACATGTTACCTATTACCCGTATCTAATTGAGTGCTACCATGTTTTATGATCATCATGATCCATTCAGCCATAGAGGGTTGACTTTAGCTTAGCCCTAATCATAGAATTTCTCTAAAATCAACGATAGTGAGCCTGAGAAAAAGTCAAATTGGTGAAATTTCATGCCATGGAATATCTCACAATAATAGTACTTTCATTTGTGTGCTTTTCAGGCCTGCAGTTGTGTTTGATCCACATCTTCCTATCAAGCAAGAGCCCCTGAGTGATGACGAACGGGAGAGGAGGCGGGAAAGATTAGCTGTGTCCAGGGAAGACAGGCGCAACAAACGAGATACCCATCAGGTCCAAGGGAAACTCCCTGAGCTCAGACACAAGGGATGGGGTCAGTCTCGTATCAAACATGAACCATCGGATGACCAGGAGCGGAGGCGGAATGATCAGCAAAGACGGGAGAATGCAACAGAGAGGTCAAGAGAAGATTGGGGGAGGGAAAAAGAGGATGAGAAGGCAGTTGAGAAAGAGAAGTCCAATTTTGGCCTCAGTGGGAAACTTGCAGAGGAGACGAACACGTTCAAGGGTGTTGTGATCAAGTACAATGAGCCAATTGAAGCCCGAAAACCAAAACGTCGATGGCGTCTGTATGTTTTCAAAGGAGAAAAAGAATTGCCCATGCTGCAGATTCACAGACAAAGTGCATATTTAATGGGACGTGAACGTCGCATTGCTGACATCCCCATTGATCATCCTTCATGTTCAAAACAGCATGCTGTGTTGCAGTTTCGCCTGGTGGACTACACACGACCTGATGGCTCAGTTGGACGTAGAGTCCGGCCTTACATCATTGACTTAGAATCTGCAAATGGCACATATGTCAACAACAAGCAGATTGAACCACGTCGTTATGTGGAACTCTTTGAGAAGGATGTGCTGAAGTTTGGGTACAGCTCACGTGAGTACGTGTTGCTCCACGAACAGAGTGCAGATGATGACATTGATGAGGATGTAAAGGAGGACATCCCAGAAGAAGCAGCTCCTTCATTACAAGAATAGCATATTCCAGTTTAAAATGAAATACTCTGGAATAAATACGAAGGGCACATTTTGTTTTATAGACATGTCTACAAATTCCTTTGCAAATCCAGTAGAAATTTGCTTACCAGAGCTCACATATATCTTGTAAGAAGAAAGTCCACCATAATAAAATCAAATGCAATCATGCAAGTTTCCATGGAACTAGGTGGTAATGTCAATAGAATGAAGATCTTGTCCATCACAGATGACTCATGATGACCCCTGCCCATCAGCTTGCAGATGAGAAGTTGAGGGGTTATCACTGGTCACAGCCAGGTTAAGTGCAGCGAGATTCCTACCGTTCACCCCTGAATGAGTCCTACTCCCTGTCTCCAAAGGCCCAGCTCGAGGGACTATGTTCTTCTGTGAAGCCAAGAGACTGAGCTGCCGCTGAATGTGTTCAGGGACCGTAGGACTCTTCAGAGCTTTGTTCAGAGGAGTCCCACCATTGCCATTGGTTGCCTTGCGTTTTGTTCCACGACTAGAACCTGGTTCTCCAGGAAAGAAAAAATTGGGGCAACTGGCATTACGGGTGGGAGTTTTAGGCATATCTGTTGCAGTTGGTAAAGCCAGTCGCGGAAGCAGACAAATGGGAGCAATTCCAAGCCGGTAACTGGGAACCACTGGCTGATACGTTGTTGTTGAGACGGAAGTTGACTGTGGACCCAGTTCGGGTACAACTCTATCCTCGCCTGATTCAGTTCTTCCCAAGAAGGCTGGAGGGGGGGCATTGGGAACAAGTTGTAGTTGGGTTGGGTTGGCTGTTGGGTTTCCAGGAAGAGGGTTGGTACAGATGTTGGCCACCAGGTGTTGATACTGAAGAAGTTGAGACTGGGAGAGTGGCTGGGCATCACGGGTGATACGATGGATTGGAATCTGGCCAGCATATCGACGGGAAGGGGGAGAGCTTGATAGGTAACGGTAATGCGATGGTGAAGACTGGGGGCTTCCCTCCTCTGCCTGCCAAAGACAGCAAGAAATAGGCCTCATGAATGATAATCCTCATTTTAAAGGGATGAACTTGAAAATTACATTGTGATATATCAAATGTGGTCAATTGAAAATACTCAAATACAGTATATAATAAGAATTTCGCAAGGCACAAATAATTGTGAAATTTAGTAGCTGCACTAATAGGTCTGTCTGGTGGAACATAAAGTCTTCCTCATTTCACATGCTCATGTTTTGATGAATTATTGAAGTGCACGAATCAAACTTTGATGCAGAAAAATTGGGTGGCTAAGACAACATAAAATGAAACTAGAAACATCCAGGAGTGTCCCAAAGGTTAAATAAACAAAGGAATAACAATATCAGATGAAAAAACTGAATTAAAAAACAATAACTAATTCTTTAAGTGTGTATTATAGTTCATTATGCTAACCATGTATAAGGGCATTAAGAAAGTAACAAGCCAAAGCTCATTTTATAGTTACTAATATATCACCACAACTGTCATTCATGCATTGGTTTTGCCAACTCTTCTATTAATTCCATCATTTCACTAAATTCTGAGTCCAACTTGTACCTTGGCCATGCCTCCAACACACCCAACCTATTATTTGAAATGAAAGCCTCCGATGTTTTTGTAATTCCAACCAATTAATTTCTTGATGGCTGCAGCACCAAGTAAGTATGCCTTGCTTGAATAATAAAATTTTCCTGCTACCAAGTCACATCTTCCCAATTAAATGGAACTAACTCTCATCAAGTTCCTTCCATAACTGCTTCTGTTTACCCTGAGTTGACAGAAGACTGGGCACATGAAGTTTTATGCTGCTTCTGAGAAATGTTAACCCATCTGCCTACCCAGCCATGGAATTGACAGCCAAGCTAAACTGTCTCTTGGCCTACCTAATCATCATTTTGATTGTCCTTTGCAGAGTTCTGTTTGATCACTTACAGTTGCAAGTAGTTCAAAGATATTGCTTAAAGATGGCACACAAGGCCTAAGCCATTCCACTCTGTTTCTTCTGCAATGCTACAACCGATGGGAGAGCCCAGCTAGACAAACAAGTCGGAAGGGTTAAGGCCTTAAATTAAATGGTATTTCATGGATACACATAAAAAAAAAGGTAGGCAGATGGGTTAACTGCTCCCTGACCATGAGGTTATGTTTCATCACATACATTTTAATAGAATAGGGCAATGCTGTGCGGCATCTAAAGTGAATATGATATTTTCACTTTTATTCAACTGCTGTCTCTACTGGCTTGGATAAAAGCCATTAGTTCATGGTCAGTCTATTCATTAGTTGTCTTGCAAGGGTTTACACAATTGAACATGAAAAGGAGAAGCTAAAATAAGTAAGGATAGAAAAGTCAAACCAATTATTTAAAACATGGAACAATTGGTTTACTTGCCCTTCTTGAGGATCATCTGTTTTACATTAGTCAGCTGTTCATGCTTTCTCCAATACAAAAACATACAAAGAAATAATCACGCGAGGAAGCACACACAAGGCAGAGACCAAAATAACTTACAGCAATGGCAGCCTTACGGAGAAAGATTTCAAGATGTGACATCCCATCTCTATCTTTTCTGCCTCTCTCTCCCTCATGAGGCATCTCTGGCACAACCTGGAGTGGCAAGGGGTTGGCCAGGATGTTCTGCCACAATGCAACAGCAGTGGAAAGTGCATCAACCAGCTGTGATGCTGTTAACCGCTTCATGGGATCCAGGACAAGGAGTCCTCTAATTATTCCCTGCACACTCTCTGTCACTCGACCATCACTTGACATAAATATAGAAAAACACACCTAGTTGGTCCAAGATTAAATATGGAAAGCACTTAGCCTATCCCTAGGCAATAAGCCAGGTATTCAAATAAGCCATGAGCTTCATCTAGCTTTACTTCAACTCTTATCAAAGTACTGATGTGACCCAAATTATTGTAAAGACCAGGTGTTGAGAAAACCTCAAGAAGCTGCTGCCAGATGGTATTTGAACAAAATCATAGCAGTGTATCACACTGTGTTCAGAGTTAAACACATCAACTGCCTCTGATGTATCTGACCATTGGTATAAGAACAAGGTCTTTTATTCTTCAAGCAAGTATTTTTCATATAACTTTTGTAAAACTTGAAAATATTGTTTATTCCTGTTTTTTTTTCAGCATATATTTTACAAGGTTATGCAACATGACCATCTGAAAGTTTGAAAATCATACCTGCAAATTGCTTAACCCTTACCCAGGCAAGGTGACACCAACAGGCAAAGGCAAAAATTTTATGAATTTTTTTCTTTAAAAGCAAATCAAAACTTAAAAAATTATTTTTTGAATCTATGGAGAACTGTCTATAAAAGACACCAAATTAGTGGAAAATTATGAAAAATTGCTGGAAAGTAATGCAATCAAATATACCCAGGGGAGTCCAATGGACTCTTGTTGCCAGGATAAGGATTAGAGATGATTAAAAAAACCAATCTATTGCCATTTACCACATAGGAGCAAAACAAATAAGAAACGTCAAAAATCTGTGACTCACTTTGGAATTGTATACTCTGCAGCCTTAATCTTGCGGAAGAGCTCCTGTGGGACTGAATCGAAGAAAGGAAACTGGCCATACAGCATTGTGTATAAGACCACTCCCAGTGCCCACATGTCAGATGGCTTTCCTGCAAATTAGTATTCAAACACACTTGTAAGGAGTGGAGAGAATTTCATACATATTCTGAATATAAGTTGCTAACCATGATAGGGCTTCCCACTTAAGACATCAGGAGATATGTAAGCAGGTGAGCCACGCTGATCCTTCAAGAGGTCATTGTCACTCATCAAGTGTTTCCCAAGACAGAAATTGGTCATAACAACCCGAGAGCGCAACCGATCCAGAACCAGGTTCCCCAACTTCAGATCACGGTGTACTATATTCCTCTGCAGACAAATTAACAGACATGAAACTGATAATAAAAAATTCATGAGCAATTTGAAATTGAAATAAAAAGCAAAAAAAAAAATTTTTGAAAAATGATATGAATACTAGAGACAGACCAATATTGAATGATACAGATTCTGATATTGGCCGATATATGAAGCCAATGGCCAATATAATATTGGCTAATATTTCAGCATAAAAAAACCATATTGAAGGTTCAACCGAACAGCTTCATTTTTTTTAAATTCTCCTTAATGAACTCACAATAAAGTTAGGCTGCAAAGCATAGGCCAAACCTAAGCTTCAGAGTAAAGGTCTGCCTCTATGTGCCAGACCAGGAACATGAGCAGAGCGAAAGAACCACGATTCCTCGCCTCTTGGATGCTGCCATATTGGCTATATCACAAGTCTCAGGGTTTCCATATAGGCACAAAGATGATAGTCACAGTCATGTTTCCTTTCACCGTATAAATAAAACAGAACTCTACTTCTAAAATTGGCAAAAATCAGAAAGTTTGAAAGAGCTGATGTGAATACTCACCAATATGCCCATATCAGCCTATTTACATCGGCAACCAATATATTGGTAAAACTCTAATGAATGCTAAACCTACCTGATGGAGGCGTTGGACGGTATAGGCAATATCACAGAAGATGGTAAGCGTTTCCCGCTCACTGAGCTTCTTTTCCCTCATAACATGATGCTGCAGATTGACATATGTGCTGGACTGGTCCTTGTATGGATGGGCATATAGGCAATCAATGACAAGGCACAGACGTTTCACACTCCGACCAGTGAACACCTGAACTGCTTTTCCCTCGCTAGATTGGATCTCCATCTCCTCTGGGATCTCCTCCTGGACACATAAATTACTGTGTTGCATGAAGTGGGAAAAATTAAAATGAATAAGGGGAAGGGGGATGATGAAAGCAGACCTTGAAAATCCCATGACATTGGATTACACCTTCCTGTCCTTTGAGGAGAGAGAGAAGGGAATATTCTGTGTACATGAGCATCCTGCCTTGTTTGTGGTCCTGAGTCTCTCCACCCCTGCCCTCCAGCATGAGCATCTAGAGTTTTATTAATGAATTTATAAAATAATAATATTCATGACATTCAAGCAACCCAGAACATGGACACTACCTTCAGAGTGTAGAAATCTTCAGTGCCCCTTCTTCTTGCCAGGCATTGAGTGATGCTTTTGACTGGGCTCCCACCTAGAGCAGGGCCAAGCAGAAAATGCCCAGCTTTCCGTATCCTGTGTTTCTCCACTTGTGTCCCTGCTGTAATTTAATCAACGCACATCAGTCTTAACTGACACACAACAAATTATTATATGCCCTCATCAAAGTCACAAGAAATAATGGCATTTTCAGATATAAAGGGTGCAAGCAAATCCATCCCCACCAGCTGAAAATGATGCAGGAGGCTAAACAAATTTTTACGTTTCCAAAGGGTAGGGGGAAGGAGGGGGGAGACGAAACACAACCACCAAAAACCCATCTGATCATTAAGTTTTCCTGCCAAACTTTTATACATACATAGCAATGCACTTCTTACCTGCAGGCAGTGCACATTTAGGCCTACCTATGGCCTCATTCCCTTTAACTTTTTCTTCATGCCCTTCTTCTTGGTTTAACACTGCTGAGTTCAGCTTCTTCTTGAAGAGAGAAGCACCTGAGAATCGGCGGCATTTTCGCTCCAAGCTGCCATCATGTTCTTTTCCTCCAATAGCCCTCTTCCGAGGGAGGCATGAGATCTGTTCAGATAATAGCCCTTCTATTTTGCCAGAATTGCTGCTGCTACTGTTTGGCGGCACTTCACTAGAATTTGAGTCTTGATCAGCCATGTGTGCTGAACTGCAGAGGCTTCGGACAATGGTACAGACCACCAAAGAATTTAGCCTGTAACAAAAAAAAAGGTGAAATTAATCAAAGTTGGATCAGGATAAGTCCACTTAAATTTTTTGTCAAATTGTACACCCTTAAATTCTTCTTTCCCTTAGGTTTGAGACAACACAGCTATAGTGTTCATTAAAACTCATCCTTAAAAGTAAAATTAAATTATAGCATAACATAACTGCATCAATACACTCGGTACTCAGCTACTCCATGACTTGAGGTCCATGTTATTACCAGAGCCTATCCAAAAGGTTCCATGACCACCCTTCATATAAGCAAATCATGTACAGAAGTTAGGTTTCAGTATGATCCCCTTCAAAATAGTTCCCTTGATTTACCATACACTTCTCCCAATGTTTATAAAGGGCTTGCAACACTAGCTATAACCAATTCTTGGTGACCTCCTTCAATGCATTGGTCACATTGCCCCCATCCTCTCTGCTAACCAGACCTCACATTTCAAGGGATTCTTCGTTACATGAACACCTCAGCAATGCTGACTTCATTTTGTGTACACCCCCTGCTGAGTGCACACTATGGGCTACAGATGTCCTTATTACACACTTGAGTTACACCTCTGGTACAGTGCACTCAAAATTGATGGAACCTCAAGTTCTTACATAAGTTTCTTCCACTACTTGAAACAACTCCTAATCTGATTTCATGAGATACCCTAGTAGGAGTCTCAGTGTCCTTTATTTACAAGCAGGTCAATGGGAATAAAAATCATTTCACAATGTCATTATTGTTACTGCGCACACCATGGTAATGGAGTCGCCATTCAGGCAGGCCCAGAACTCCCACCAAAGACTTGGGAGAGCAGCACTGCACTGTAATCTGCCAATTGGTTTTCTGCTGGTCATCCTGGACATCATTGGGTGTATCTCAGGGTACATGTGGGAGCAGCATCTGGAAAACTGGCCTTGGGACCTATCACTCCAGAAAAGCAGCTCGAAGTGGAGGTTCTCATGGATGGCAACCCTCTGCATGATGGTTCATGAGGTTCAGAGGTAGAGTGTTGCTGTTCACAAGAACCTCCAGTTCAAGCCACTTCTCAAGATCAAGAGACCTTAAATCTGTCTTTCCTGACAAATCTCTCACACACATCCTGTGATATCCAGAATGATGGGACATATCAACCAGACAGGACATCAAACATTGGGGACTAGTAGGTCTACCCGACACATGGTGAATACAGGGGAGTAGTGCACACAAGATGAAGTCTGCATGGGGGGGGGGGGGGGGGGGTTCATGCAGTGTTCAGTGCTCACATTATGAAGGATACCCAGACTTTGTGACTTCATGCTGTTTCCCAGAATGAAGTTCCTTCTGAAAGGCCACCACTTAGACAGCACAGTTGCTTATAAGTTAGCTGTGACCAATGTGTTGAAGGAGGTCGCCAAGATTGGTTACAGCCAGTATTCCAAGCTATTCACCAGTGTTGGGAGAAATTTATTGCCATTCAAGGGAACCATTTTGAAGGGAATCCTACTGAAACCTAACTTCTATTCATAGTGTACTCATATGAAGGTCAGTCATGGAACTGATAGGCCCGCGTATATTCCAATGATATGGCGTGTGCATGACGAGACATTGACATAATTATATTCTAATAGGTTAAATGTCTAAGTATCGATCCGATTCATCATTAGCAAAGGCATTAGTGCTAAATTCCACTCCAACTCATCAACGTCTGGACTGGCCTAATAGTTACTTAACAACCCGTTCGTTAGGAAAGAACAAAATGGTCGTCCCTGCCATTTTTTTCATGAAACAATCTAAACCTAACGTTATGTTTAACGCCTGATTTCATTTGACTTAACTCACCGCGTCTGTGGCTGGACACCGATAGAAAGGTCCGACCAACGATGTTAAAATAATAATCCCATGGCGTGCCCAAGCATGAAAGAGATGTTGCACCACCTTGCCATGACAGAGTTACAGGCTATAACAGGTTCCATCTCCATGAGATCCGCCATCTTCATTTCTCTGCATTTCAGCTCCTCAGCTCCGATTGGTCCAAAGGTACACCTGCAGACGATGCGACGTGTTCCACTGCTCACTTTCTTGCCTGCGATTGGTGGACAAACCCTAATAGCAGACGACGTGCAAGTCTTATGCAATCGTCTTCCTACCTGCACCACGTCCTGCTTTGGAGACCGCGTATCCATACATGGTGCGTGTCATGTTCAGTTTTTCATGCACGCTTGAAAAACTGAAGCGTGCGTGAAGCTGAAACTGGAAAATGAATCATCAGAAAGCTGATTCTAGCGAAGCTCTACAAGAATTTGACTCATTCCAACTTTGCCCACACCTCGCAATAGCTCATGGTGCAATAGTGCGAAACAGTGAAATATAAGTAGTAGCAGCCTTCTTTTCGATGAAAACAGCTTGTGTGGCAGCAGCATAAAGCTATACATTTCAAACGCATATCAATAACGGAAAAATTAAGTCGCACGATCTGCCTAAGATATGTGACGTGCGGTTGTCTGGCATGGCCGATTGAGCTCTCGGGAGGGCCGCCCAGAGGTTTCCAGGGGCCCGGGGCAAAACTAAACCGGAGACCCCTTGGGGGCCCCCTTGAGGCCCCCATAGGGACCTCTTGATACGTGGGGCCCGGGGCAGATTGCCCCAATTGCCCCTTTGGGCGGCCCTGGCTCTCGGAGTATGATGGAGTGCGTTGATAGCTACCAGGAAACTCCCTTACCATCTCAAAAAAGTGATAGAGTTTGTCCCTTTGAGAAGGTCCATATTGATGGATACGGAGTCAATAGCCACTAAACAAGGATTCCTGCGCGGACAGGGTTTTACAAAGATCTTGTTTATTCTGATCTACTCTACATACAGCGCTAAGTGGGTTCCAAGTATTTATTCAAGCAGAAGAGAAGAGTATAGCTAGATCTCTCAGCACAACTTAGCGAATGCGAAAGCCTCAGTTCGTGAGATATGAATGTTAAAATGGTTCAGGAAAAGACAAAACAGAAATGTTCTCATTCTCGATGCAGAATTTTTTACGCATGGGCTCGTGGCCATCACGGCTACGACAACGAAATCGGAAAGGGTTGCTCGGACTTCAACCGTTAGCACGGCCACACTTCAATCTCGTCCTTCCTATTTCTAAGAGTTTCCCCCGGCTCCAACCAGCAAGGATCAGAACCTGGTTCCAACCAGATCCACCAAGTCCTGCACAATTGAGCCCAAATGACACCATATAATACAGGGCTGTGTCACTTTTTTTTTATAGATCAATTTCGTTCGTCCGAAATAGATTCTGGAAACAGTCAATACGAGCTTCCCAATCCCTGCATTTCTTTTTCTTCCTTATTTTGGCACCCCCAGTCTTCATCTTTTCCAGCTGCGATTCCATGTGCGATTCTTCCTTCTAAATCAAAGCCACGAGTTCAAAAATGTTCAAGTGGCACTTCTGGGGATAGTGAAACTGGGAGTTGACCTTCCCTCCCCTTTAGAGTAGAGGTAGAGGCAGAAAATCATGGGGACATGAAAATCACGCATGGAATGTGGCCCTGTGCACTTTCGCCCCAACCGTGTGTAGGTCAAAGATTAAATCACAACTTGTGATTCTTGTCAATCGGAATGCGGGGGCGAGATTCCACTGGGGCGAGAGTGGAAGCAACCCCCTGTACAGGCTCCTTCCCCTTATGAAGGCCGCGGCACGAGATGCGATTTTCCAATGCAGAAGCAATCGGACGGGGGGAAAAACGAACACCGTTCGATGTTCGATGGCTATCACTGACAACTTGTACATAATTACGATTCTCGTCATCGTCACTTGCAACCACGAATGATGAAGGCGAGGAAAAGGATTTCTATGGGAATTTTCCCTTCGTTCATCTCAAAAGGAGAAGGGTCATTTCCAGAACTTACTGCCTTTTCTAGCGTCTAAAGCAGTGGTGCCCAACCTTTGCGGCTAGGGGGCCACATAGCTCACTCCCACAGCCACCGCGGGCCAGTCACTAGTATTGTAGGCGACTATTTCAAGGAAACCTAAGGGTATTTATTGCGGGTTAGAGCCTCGAGGGCCACTTTTTGCCCGCGGGCCACGGGTTGGGTACCAACAACCACAACCTTTTCACCCTAGGGGATCAAATTGAGACTTCGGCTCATGTTCGAGGGAGAGCCGAAATAGGCCACATACAAATACAGATCTTTAGAGACCGGAGGCATCCTAAGGGCCGCAAAAAAGGTCTCCGTGGGTTGGGCATCACTGGTCTAAAGCTTCACGACCATCTCTTCGTGGATGAAAGGGATTCTCTCGCGAGGGCTGAGATACAATATTACCGGAAGAGAGCCTTTAGGTCACATTCCCACGTCCGGCTTTGCTTTTCATTTGAATTTTCGACACACGAGTCTGACACGTTTTCTGTCGAGTACAAAATTATCGTGTGACGGTAGTGATGACGCAGAGCCTTTGGAGTGTTGGGATCAATTGAACAAAAATGTTGAAACCACCTGAAAAACAGTGAAAATTGGAAATTGATACAGCCAGTTTCTAAATAATTATAGACCAGAAGTTTCTAAACTGTGGGGCGCGCCCCCCTAGAGGTTGCGAGAGGGTATAAGAGTAATACAAGGAGCACTCCAAAACTTTGAGAATCTACCATTTTGAACAAAGCTTCAAGCTTTCTACCCCCCCCCCCCCCCCCCAGATTTTGCAGGTTTTGAACATTGAGTACAGCAAATTTGAACTCTGTGCCTCCTTTTCCCTACCCTTGAGCTCAATTTTTACAACATAGGCTACCGGCCCCAGATGGCCTCTGTTGACCCAGTATGCGCCTGGAGTGGAGATTTCAAGGTCATCATCTACTGAATGAAGCAGGGTTTGCAAAAAAATGACATTCTCTCTTGAATGCAAGGTGCTTTGAGGGACCAAGCACTATCATTTGCCGCCATCCATTGCTGAGTCAACGACTTCAAGTTCGGCAGAGTC